ATCGATCAACGGCAAAAGGTAGTTTATGGTACCCGCCCTGCCCCGGAGTGTATGTATGCCAAGTTTGGTCCGGATCGTTTCAGAGATGAAAATTTCTATTCGGAACATACATACAGACAGACACACAGACACACAAACATACAAACAGACATTCAGCTTTATATGCAAGATATGACTACTTGAGGAAGAAAATGATGGGCAATAACTTTAATATAAAACTGTGCCATTACACTTACAGATACATAGACGATATTCGCATCTTTGCAGGTGTTTCCCAATCTGTCAAGAACTCAAAGGCGCCGTCCACCCAGATTTTCAAATTCCAGGTTTTTGTCGTATCAGGGCCTTCTCATGTACCAGATTCAAATGTGAAGTTGAGAATCCGCGAAAACGCTGACAATCCCCGTTCAGGAAAACCCACAAGCCGGTTTTCCGAAACGGTGATTGGATGGGCGCGCACAAATGGGCGGGCATGGATGGAGTTCTTGTGCATTTTCGCTAAAAGCGACATTTTGCGAGCGACTTGGGCATTGGCTTGACAGGAAACCCTACTATAATATACTGCCAAAAGTTTAAGACCCTCAACTTAGGGTGGACGATGTCTTCGTGGAAAATTTAGTATCCTTCTTTAGAAGTAGAAAGGAACCGGGTGGTGAGTTAGAGACCAATTTCATGGACTTGGCAGTGCATATAAAGGATTTAAGCTTTAGTTTCAGCCTGACAATAAGATGACATAATTTCAAGGTTACGAGATATCCTTATTGGATGTTTAACATATTATAAATAGTGCAACATACCCAGAGGAGGGGGGGGGGCTTCCTGAGGGAACTATTGATGGGATATCAAGTTCGGGGCATCCAGGAAGTCGCATTACCGCTTTAGTTCTAAGCCTCAAAACCGGAATGCAAAAAGGATTTTCATCATTATCGCATTAGCTTCTTTCCTGAAGAGCTTCTACAACTGTCATCTTTATAAGAGTTTCTTCTTTGGGTAGGAACAATCGGCAAATATCAGGAATCAAAAGCGGTGACTTATCGACGGAAGGGAAAAATGATGTTAGAATAAAATAAATTCAAGTATCAACTTCATTCACAAAGATAAGATGCGCTTCAAGGAAAAAATGCGTGGAAAATTAGCATTTTTCCATTCAACAGTGTCACTTTGGCTTCGTCCACGCGGTTGAAAATCACTTTGGCCTCTTTCCCCTTCTGCAACGAAAATGGTGATTGAGATTTTCTGATGTAAATCATACTTTTGAAGCAATCAAGTGCCCTTCATGTAATCTGTAATATCGAATGTCCTCACTGAAAAAAAGAGTTTTTCTAAAAACTACCACATAGAGTTAACTGAATATTCATTATTGCGCTGTTGCGAAAAAATCGCAGCGCTTCTGCTATGACGTCCCGGTTTCACTACTCCAGCACGTCTTCTTCTCTAGCAAAACATTGAATTTTCCCCCTCCTCCGTTTTGTCAAGAAACAATCAAGCTAGAATATGTTCTTATGAGTTAACCGAGGTACGCATGGTTTGGCCAATTCGCCTCGGTCTCACTTTCTCATGTCAATTTCGTTCAAAAAATCATGCAATTAAAATGGCGTTTGAAGGCCAGTTATGCCTTAAAATAGGCAGTAACTAGAGATACCTCAGAGTGATCAACCGAAGTACGAATAATATGCCCATTCGCCTTGGTCTCACTCTTGCATATCAAATTCCCATTAACAGACGTTGAGAGAAAGTTTGAAATATTTCCCATGGTATACCTATGCCTGTCAGTCAATTTCAACTTTACTCCCCTATTTGGTAAGTGCCATTCATTTAAACACAAATGAAAAACTATCCTCATGCCTCATGATCAAGAAACGCATTGGCATCTGTCAGTCCTCACCAACCCATATAAGGTTAGCTATAGTCAATTTTGGATGCTATAATCACTACGTAATATATTTTGGAATCGTTGTTTACCCATTAACACCCCTGGTCCGTGGAACATGACAAACGAGGAGGCAGCAGACGGAGAAATTATGATGAAATGTACTGATTTTTGACTTTGGATTGCTGCCAATTGGCATGCGTTTTGGAACGCTGCCAAATTTCATAACGATTGACCAAGCATATTTTCGTAAAAGGTTCGCACGTATTTCGAAAGGCAATCATGAGTGTCGCAATGATTTTGAGAATGGGTCGCCATGTCCGGGTGTGTTATTTGTAGATGCTTTTTTTTTCGAGCTTGTTATCCCAGAATGTGTCTTTCAAATATGTTGTACTCTTATTAGTTGCTTTTGAAATGATGCCAAATTGCGTAACAGCGTGACTTGAGCTAAATTCATCTAAGTTCCCAGCTCTTGGTAAAAATGCTCTAACTATGAACAGTCCCTTTAGGATTGTCTTGCTTCCACGAGACAAGAGAGTGCGTGAGTAACTTAGTCTCGCTGATACTTTTGGAATCGTTTATCTAATAACAGCCTTGCTTTTGCTTGTGTAATGGGTCCCGCTGGTGCTTTCAACTAGGTATGGTGTGTAAGCGGCGCTAGGGCAATTGCATCGGGCAGGGAAACAGATTTGCGTACGTTTGGGGCAGTTCTCAGAATTGAAAGTCCAAAAGTGGCATGTACGGCAATTTGAGAATAACGCTGTAACTACTTGATTTCGTTGTTTTCTTTTTGTAGGAGTCGTAGATGGTTTTCCTTATATATACGGTCTTCAAGCGGCACTTAAGGCATAGACTTTCTTTTTGAATAGTTAACTATCGGTCTGTAAGCGGCACGTAGGGCAACTCGATCGGGCAGGGAAACAGATTTTTGTACGTTTGGGGCAGTTCTTATAATTTTTAAACGGTCTTCAAGCGGCACGTATGGCAACTTGATCGGGCAGGGGAACAGATTTTTGTACGTTTGGGGCTTCTTATAATTTTTAAACGGTCTAGCGGCACGTATGGCAACTTGATTCGGTAGGGGAACAGAATTTTGTACGTTTGGGGCAGTTCTTATAATTTTTGAACGGTCTTCAAGCGGCACGTATGGCAACTTGATCGGGCAGGGGAACAGATTTTTGCACGTTTGGGGCAGTTCTTATAATTTTTGAATGGTCTTCAAGCGGCACGTAGGGCAATTTAGTTGGACAGAGAAACAAATTTTTGGTACGTTCATGCAGTTCTTATAATTGAGGGTCTTCAGGTGGCTCAGAAGTCGTGCTTTTCGGGGAGGGATCTCCTTTTGTAGTAAAGCTTCACATTCCTTTGGCGAAAATATTGAAGGATTTTCTGACGAAGTTCTTAGACGATTTTCGTTGCTGTCGGAGTTGATTCCGAGGCAAAAGTTTTTTTGTAGTACACATAATTGTTATGGATGTATTTCTACTTCCAAAACGATAGGTGTGTTCTTCTACTTCCTTAACGATCTTCTATGGAAATTGTTGAGAAGAACTGGAAGAGCAAATTCTCTTTGAGAGGGTAGAAAAGTAGGATGGGAGGGGGGGGGGTTTATCTGAATGTCTCTGTGAGGAGGGGAAATTTGCAGAAAGAGCGTGGTAAACAAGAGAAAAATAATGTTCCCCATGCACGGTTGGCAGCAGGAATTTCGAATAATGCTGAATGAATTGTGGAGATTATTGCTTCTTCGAACATCTCCTTTTGTAAAATGCTTTCGCAAAAATGTTCTCGGAAAGGCATAGGAAAATTATCTAGAAAAATACATAATCACAACTAAGCCCCTATATTGTATCTGCCCCAACCCACTCGATAGCGACCCTACGGGTCGCTAGTCTTGATATCACTCTATTGGGTAGTATCATTCTGGCTCTGATATGTAAATGGATGTGTGTTGCTTGAATTTTCTATCACCACCGATTTTATTTCTGTAGTATTTTTCCTTCTTTTTGCTTACTAACTATCACTTAGTTTTTCTGCTGTTTTATGATAGGCGCACTTCTTGTGCATTCAATAAATAAATTAATAAATACAGCAAAACACTTTTTCAATCTTTCACACAATGAAAGAGCAGTTGCTCATCAAATACATTGCTTCTAACCACCACTCCTGTGACTGCGGCATGAACTGTTAAGCAAAATGTCATATATCTTTGAAAAAGATATAATTTAAGAAATCATGTTCCAGACCCATTGCAAAAGATGAATTCCAAAGCGAGAAGTTCAGGGGGTAGAAGCGACCAAGATGGCTTTGTTGTCCATCGATGTGGGTAGTCTGAAGATGAGCTCGAAAGTGGGCTTCAGGATGGATGCAAATGTCGAGAATTTGATAATCATATTGAAGGAAGAGTTTATTACAATTCTTCGTTCATGAGAGTTCACTTTTGGACTTGTTAATTTCAGACCACCCTGTTGATGGACGGAGCCACCTTGTCCGCTTCACTTTCTGGAGTGATTTTTTTCACTTCAGAATCCACCTTTTGCAATGCTGCGCTATTATACAGTACCAAAATTCACAATCCTCGACTCAAGTGGACGATGCCTTCAAACAGTTGCAGAATGAATATTGATAGAATATTAAATGAATAGATAAAAATCCAAGACTCCTTAAGTATTGTGAGGAAGAGACAGCAGAAGAGGGGAGTAAATATAGGAGTTGTTGGCTGCTATAAAAGAGTGGCCTTATACCTTGAATGCACCATTCTTGTGTGCGCAGAATAGAGGACGCAAGTTACCCATATGCACGTGAGGCGTATATGTACGATGCGCTATACCGTTATCGAGAAAGAAAAGAAGAAAGAGACAACAGAAAAAGAGAGAACGCCCAAAATTCGAGAGAAAGCCTAAAATATCCACTACAGGATAGATACGAGAATTATTGATGGAGTCGGAGGTGATCTCGTACTAAGCTTGATTCTTTTATAGTTTCTAGACAAAATGTGTCACTTTCGTGGATATCGGTATGCCTTTGAGACAAACTCTAATGAGAATATTTTTGTTTTGTATACACACAGTATAGTTTTCCTCAAAACAACATCGTCTTGCCTTGGAAAGTTCATTCGTTTATTACAGTGCTTCACACAAGGTGATGAAGAGTAGTTCTAGCAGTTCCTCAGAAAGCTACAGATGGAAAACTGCCAAGCCCACATCGTCATCTTCCGAAAGCGATCCCATTAAGATGGAGGTTTGCGTTAACGTTCCAGTAAATGAAACCGTAAACGGCACACTTTCAGGGGGAAATACTTCTAACGTTGAAAAAGAAGCAGCCACATCGCGCTAGAAAGTACTATGCAATAATGACTAAGGGATATCTGCAACTGTTCACGAATAAAGAAAATCCTGCCTATAGATATCAAATCGACCTCTCGAAGGTAAATCCGAATTCCGGAAAGCTGATTTCTAGCTTTGAAGCTAAGCCAGATTTTGATTGTACGTGACCACTGTACCTTTTAGGTGGTGCTGAAGGATGAAGGCAAATCCATAACCATCAATTTTAGGGTGAGTGCCATTTGTTGGAGTAACTTATCCGAATATCTGTTCTCCGTACTTGCATTCATACTCAAAATGCGATTACGGCCCTCATCGATGTTGCAGCATTGGAAGGAAACCAACGACATCCACATTTGTTCGCTTCCAGCTTGGCACTAAGTGACTCAACGAACTCAACCTTGAAGTCACGAATTGAGAGACAAAGGATGAATGAGATATAATTATCGTTATCATAAATGACTACACAAATCATTTTCGACAGCTAACGGTTCATTTGCATTTTTTCTAAGATTAGGGGCGGCATATCTGTCAAAAGCGTCAGGAATGACAGTAACTCGAGCGAAACCGTCACATTAAACTTTATCCCGATGAAGTCTTGACTTCGAAGAGAGAAAAACGATTCGAGGAAAAAAAAGTCGGCCTCTTGAGCTCGTCAGGGGCTCATACAAAAGCTGGAAAGCACGGCTCATACAACAGTGCGCTCCTTTTCGACATGTTTATAGTGAAGGAAATCACAAAAACTTATGGATGGGAAATTCAGATGCCCAGGGATTAGGAAAAAAGATTTTATTTCCACAGACCCCCAAGGAGATGGTGCATGCGGTCCTAAGAGAAATCTTAATCGTATCATTCACTTCTTGTTATAACTCGCCTCTAACGAAATAATAATTACCAAGTAAAAAATAGAATGAAAATAATCGTTTGAGCTAAATGATGATTATAATTACAGGTTGAGTCACATATCTTTGTCCCAGTGGACGAAAATAGCTTTGAAAAGTGGAGAGACTGCATCTTCAAGCACCAACTTTACCGCAAGTCACGTACAATGTAAGAACAAAACGTAATCCTCTTTCTTTACTTTTATTTGCAGTAAACAGCAGTGTCCAAACATTTGTTTTCAAACTATTTGTGCTTTTTTTCGCTGCGAGCAGGACAAGGACAATAATTAGCATCTTCGCCGGGAGCTCCATTCTTCCCTGGTGCTCCAGGAGCTCCATCGTCTGCATTTTTACCTGGGAAACCAGGCGGACCAGGTGGCCCCATTGGTCCTGGCGCGCCATCTTGTCCGGGATCGCCATTTTTGCCTGGTTCTCCTGGAGGTCCAGGCCATCCAGGCGGCCCTTGCGCACCTTCCAAGCCGGGAGAACCGATGACACCATCGTGACCAGCTATTCCGGGTACTCCTTCCATGCCTGGTAGTCCCTTGTTCCCTTGATCTCCCATAGGTCCATCCGGCCCAGGAGCTCCATCCTCACCGGGGTCTCCTGTTCTGCCCATAGCACCTGGGTATCCTGGCTCTCCTTGAGGGCCTTCTGGTCCATCGGGTCCAGGACGTCCCTCTGGGCATCTGACACAGCCTCCAGGAATAGTGTATGTCACTCTGGAATAGTGATGGATAAGTTCGGAAAGTCGTTGGTAAGACAAAACTCACATCAAAGAGACACCGGTAGCTCCTGGCTTCCCAGGCTCCCCAGCAACTCCCTGCTCCCCACGTTTTCCAGGAATACCAGGCGGTCCCGGAGGACCTGGAGGACATCCCTGCGAATCCACGAGACAGTTACACACGGATCCCTCATAAGATCTTCTATGTCGGGCAAACAGTGAGATGAATGATTCCGGTGCATCAGCTTTCCCCCCTTTAGTATGCAGAAAGAGGATACGATTCCAAGCGTCATCGGACATTGCCTGAACATAAGAATTTTTTTCCATAATCTACACATTTCTGTCCCACCTTCATTTCGTGCACTCCGGATAGAATTTCGTCTCTCATATTGTCAATATCTTGTACAATAGAGCGGACTACAAATAAAGAGCAAATCATAGCCGCCAAAGCTAGAGATGACCCTATAGGCACAAAGTACGAGACCATTGTCCTAGCAGCGGAAAATGGAAGATTAACGGACGCCGCAAAGAAGTTATCTGCACTCTTTGTCCCATCTTTTATACCGAGTCATCGACCTACTTTTTTCTGCAATTTGAACTGAACTTCGCATCGGGCTTTTTTTTTGTAAATTGACATTTGGATTTTGTAGATTGGATTTTTTGCAATCTTAGGGAGACAAAGGAAAACGGTAGCAACTTTTTAGGATAATGGAAAGAAAAATGGAGTCAGAAAAGTCCTCAAAAGTTGAGAGCAAAGTTTCTGTCAGCACTGCGTAAGTTTCATGTATTCACCCATGAAACTTTATGAGCTTCGCTTTTCAAAATGCAGAAGTGATTTTAATGATTGGAACACTATGGATATGTGTTGGAAGATGATTGATGACATAGAACGTAGGTCTATCGCACTTACAAATCATTGAATTAACGAAAAAGTCTGCCTGCGCAAGTTGTAAAGTGTGCTAGAATCCCTAATTCCTCGAGATGATAAGAAAATTTTTGAAGCAATCTGAGAATCTGGATAATAAGAATGGAGACAAACCAATTTTGTAATCTTATTCAAAGGTTTCAGAAATGCAAGGACTCTCAGTACAGGTTCTAGAAAAGATGGCTGCACTCGCTGTGGAGATGAGAAAGGTGGCAAATGAGTTGAATGCTGTCATAACCCAGTTCAAGGTAATTTGGAAAAGATTAGAGAGAAAAATGAAGCACCTGTTATTTAGCAAGGCAAAATCATAAGGAAAATGTCTGATAACAAGCCTAGCCCCACTACTAAAAAGCAAATCAGCGCCCTATCGGCGTCTACAGCACCAACGAAAGGGTTTTTAAAGATAGAAGAGGATGAAGACATTGGTTTGAGAAAGTAGTAAAATTTATATTTTTTGGTTTGGATTGTTCAGGTACTGGCCTTTCGTCACACGACTACGACAGCGATTTACTTACAGCTGATTCCAAACCAAGCATACAGATATTGCACTCTCTACAAGCAACATCAAATGTGGAACAAAGAAAAGAGTAAGCGAATATGAATGTTTTGCAGTAAGGAGTCAAGAGTGTTTTCAGTGATGTCATCAAACGCAGCTTGAAGATATTAGGTAGAAGTAGCACAGGTAAGCTTCTTCAAATTAGAGATCTTAAAAGCTGAGCCAGAGAAACATGTTCTTTCATTTCAAAATGATCAAAAAAATCATGTTTCATGTTCTGACCCTCCTTGCAAATACTTGGCAAAGAGTATCGAGACTAACCAATAGTGGCACTAAAGTTAAATCGCCAATCGCTCATCTGCAACACTCAAAAGGTTTTTTTCCTTTTCGCACTCTCATTAAAGAGTTATAATTTTACTAGCTGGCTTACCCGGCTCCGCTGTATGTTCCGAATAGAAAATTCCATTTCTTAACCGATCCGGACCAAACTTGGCACACATACCCTTCGGACCCCGGCGGGTGTCACAGTCCACTTTTCGTTATCGATCGATGTCGATTTCATCGATTTTTTGCAAAATTTGAGCTACTGGGCTGAGAGTTGGCACAGGGGGGTAAGTGAGCATGGGGATTCCGAATACAATATTAGTTTTTAAAATCGTGCATTACTTTTATCGATTTCATCGATTTTTTGCAAAATTTGAGCTAGGGGGTGGAATTTGGCAGAGGGGTGTAATCGAGCATGCTGATCACCCCCACGGGGGTGAACAGCATGCTCGATTACCCCCCTGTGCCAACTCCCAGCCCCGTAGCTCAAATTTTGCAAAAAATCGATAAAATCGATATCGATCGATACGAAAAGTAGCTTATGACACCCGCCGGGGCCCGAAGTGTATGTGTGCCAAGTTTGGTCCCGATCGGTTCAGAAATGGAATTTTCTATTCGGAACATACGTACACACAGACATACATACATACAAACAGACATTCAGATTTATATATAAGATTCACGGTAACCCTTTGCACAGAATAAAGACATTGCGTTTAACACGTCTTCTCGAATGTCTCACCAGCGCATCATTCCTTTTTTCTTAGGCAGGCGCTATACTCCTCGAGGTATAGCATGGCGACGATCGATATGCATCAATTACGTGTAAAACTGGCGATTTTTGTCGCCGATACTGGCGATCGCCAGTCGTAGCGACTGGCGATCGCCCGTCGTAGCGACTGGCGATCGCCAATATCGGCGACTACACTTTTGATACGTATCGATTTGACGTGTGGTAACGGTGCCAATCGCCAAACAAGTTACCACACGTCAAATCGATACGTATCAAACGTGTAGTCGCCGATATTGGCGATCGCCAGTCGCTACGACGAGCGATCGCCAGTTGCTACGACGAGCGATCGCCAGTCGCCAGTGTTGGCGACTACACATTAAATATGTATCGATTGGACGTGTGGTAACTCGTTAGCGATCGATACGCATGGAAGACACAGTCGCCAGTATTGGCGTCGTAGCTAGTGGCGATCGCCCGTCGCCATGCTATACTCCTCGAGGAGTATAGCACCTGCCTTAGAAATAAGTTTTCAGAAAATTGACGAAACTTTACAAGGCAATCGTCACGTTCTCCTGTTCACTTAGTCGCTGACCTTTCACTTGAAGGAACAATTCGAAGAAAAAAGGGGAAAAGGCAGAGTATCGATACTTAGCTGCGTTTTCCATCAGGCGTATTTATTCATAAGCGAACTCTGAGGGTATACCTTAGGGTGCCTTTATACCGCGCCGGCAGCCGCCGCTAGCAGCCCGTAGCAGCCGCTGGCAGCCGTAGCAGCCGCTGGCAGCCCGTAACAGCCGTTGGCAGCCCGCAGCAGCCGCCAGCAGCCCGTAGCCGCCGCTGGCCGATTTGTAATAGAAGCGCGAAATCATCAAATTCTCACTACTCTGAGGCGCCCGCCCAGCTTTTCATCTTCTACGCTTCTTTCTTTCTATTGCCGCTAATGTGCAATTCCACACTCACACATTACAGAGTTATTCAAGATGAACACCGGCCAAGGATATGATTGTAGCAGAACCACACATAAAATATAAACACTGCAGAAACTGGACGCATCCAAAGTCAAAAGAAATCACACCGCGAAGCTTTGGAGAAATATGGTTCGACTGCGAGAGGGAAACTGAGCACCACTAGGATGGCCAATGAACGGCAACAAGATAATAACAACAGTGGACACAAATATGATATGTGAGATCGAACTGCGACAACAGAAAGGAAAAAGCGTGGAAGATGGAAATGTATACGGTTGCACTCAAAATAGTAAGAATCTGATGATTTTCCGCTTCTATGACAAAAGCGGCCACCGGCTGCTGTGGGCTGCTACGGGCTGCTGGCGACTGCTGGCCGCTGCTACGGGTTGCTAGCGGCGGCTGCCGGCGCGGTATGAAGGCATCCTCACCATTGAGGGTAAGTGTTATCCCAAAAGCATAAAACCTGTATTCACGAAGCCCAGGGTAGGCTTAACCTTGAGGTTAAAACTACCCCCTTGAAGATAGATCTTACCCCAGAAAGCGGCTTACCTGTATTCATCAACGACTCTGAATATAAATTCTACCCTTGAGGGTAAAACTCACCCCAGAAAGCGATTAGCCCCGTATTTGAACGCGATTCATCACTACTCAGCCCTGACGATACTATTTCACACCAAACATGTATTTCTAATCATTATTAGCTCAAGTTTGTTAAGTCCTCTAATGTCTCGTCTAATTATAGTATTTTGGTAGACTAACATTTGAAGGCAGTGTCCAGGCAGATCTGGACCTATGGGGATTTTACGTGGAAAGTACTTTTGGAGCCCTAACTAAGGCACTGCTCAAGCGGCAGCGCAGGTAGTGCTCTAATGGCTGAGATATTCCCCTCGAAACTGGACCCCGCGATCGTATTCGCATGGATTCATGGCAGTTTCGCGCCAGGACACACGCTTTGCGCCATGAATTCATGTGGAATACGATCGCGGGGTCCAGTTTCGAGGGGAATATCTTAGCCGTTAGAGCACTACCTGAGCTGCCGGTTGGGCAGGAGCTTAGTTAGGGCCCCAAAATTACTATTCACGTGAGATCCCCATGTGTCCAGACTTGCCTGGACGCTGCCATTAATGAGGGAGTTTCATGCTATGATTAACGTTTCCAGGAGGTATTCTTTTTGTCCAAGGTTATTAAGTCAAAGGCCTAAGCTCCTTCTTTTCAAATAACTCTGTAGAGCTGTGCCGCAAATATTTGTTTAGAAGATATGAGGACAAATCGAACAACGGTTGCAACGAGGTGCGGCAACGCGAACGACGCGTGCGACGTCGCACTTTCTTTGCTCCTATTTCCAAGAGAAAAACAGTAATTTTAGTAATGATGTGTACTGTGTACAACATAGATACTTTTGGGTACTATTAGAAACTAAGTCCTTGTTCCCATCCTTCAAGAAAGCATAGAAGTCCTTTTCGAGCGACAAATTTCAAACACTTCGAGTTCACTCAGAACTTTGGGTATGGAGCTTATCTGACATGCTAATTTCAGAAGTAGCACACAGTTCTATGAAATAAGGTCTCTTTATTGGCTAACGGCTGAAAGTACACTCTTTTTGCCGTGCGCGATTTCGCGGTCCGAAACGTGTTAACGTCGTAAAAACTCCTGCTGGAAGAGCCTATTCCAAAATGTTGGGTACTGACAAAACTCAAAAAACAAGTACTTCTTAGCGCTTCAAGTGTCAGTCATGATGTGCATTATTAAGCTTGCACGAGCCATAAACCTCATGTATACGAAAAAATTCAAAAGACCCTTCAGGATGGGATTAATAATGATAAGCAAAAGTTTACATTTATTCATCATTATTTACAGAGCTTCTTCCTCCGAAAACAGTCGCCAGTGCGAAGCAACAACCATCCCCGACCTCTACTGTCGAGCCAGCTGTGTAAGTTAGCACAAATCCAGTCCAACTCATAACCACAACAAATTTAGAAGCTCTGTGACTGGAGAAACCAGCGCCTCAGCAGGGCCTGATTTGAAAACTGCGAAAGCTCCGGATGAGTCATCTGCAAAGTCGGGAAAGGTGTGCTGACAGCCTACAATGAAGCAGCCATTAGCTAACTGATTTCAGCTCCGTAAAATTCGTAGAGCAGTCCTTCCATCACCGCAGAAGCCATCAGAGCGGATTAGTTTTGCTGTAAGAAAAAGGTTCTGCTGCTCAATAAAAGCAAATCAAGTGTTTTGTAGGCACTCGGAAGAATGATCTTGCAACGTAGTGGTGTGCCTCTTTCTCATTACGAGCCGCTTACAGCTTTACAGGTATGTGATAGTTCTGCTCTAAGATCACGAGATTTGCTCATTTTAGCTGCTTTGTGAGGAACTGCGACACTCAAAACTGCTCAGTGATGCATGCAGTAAAAATACCGCTGAAGAGAGAATGGTTTACGTAAGCTCTAATGAATTATCTAAACTTGATTGCACCGATGGCTCGCACAATCATTGAATGTCAGAAACAAATCAACTCGAGAACAATGTATAAATCTTGCCTAGGACTATAGATTCCTGCTGGGAAAAAGACAATATTGCTTGGGAAGTATTCTTAGATTGTTGTAAAATTAGATACAATGAAACTTCTTGGCAAGCAGTGCTATAAAGCGTTTCACTCCGTTACCATGGCATAGTTCAAATGGTTTCTGCTTGTGAATTGTGAATTCACTCCTTTACCATGACATAGCTCAAATGGTTCCTGCTTGTGAATTGTTTTCATAAAGTAGGGTGAGGAGGATGGGCCTTTCACTTACTTAATAGTCACATTTTCCAACTAATTGCTCAGAATTTACTAACAGGTGGCTGCGTTTGCTTTTTCCACCTACTCCAACACTACGGGTCGATATCGAAAGTTTTTCAATCCTTTACTTGGAGAAACCTACGAATACGAGCAAGACGATTTCAAGTATCATGCAGAGCAGGTGGCAAAAGAAAATGCCAGAAGTTTTCTTAACGTCCCCTTGATTTGAGGTATCTCATCATCCGGCTGTTTCTGCAGGCCACGCTAGTGGGAATGGTTGGACGTGGTTTCAAACATTCAGTAAGCCATCCCTACCATCTATGCATCTAACTAATTGTGAACAACTTCATAGGTGCTGAGGTTACTTGGAATACGTGGGCACAGTCGTGCGAGTTCTGTCCAGAACGACCTGTCCGCCTTCAGCTGGGTGGAGAAGAATACTCATGGAATAAGATAACCACCCACATCGAAAATCTTCTCTGCACACCAGAACAACGTAAACTTTATCATGAGGGAACGATACATGTAAGGTGCTCAAATGGCGTAGACGCTCGGATCAACGTGAAGAAGAACAAAGTGCATTCGCTTAACATTTGCCTAAAAGCTAATTTTCTGCTTACTTAAGGAGGTCTATGGTGATGTGGCAAACGCTGATGGAGAGATTTTTTGCAGATTTATGGGAAACTGGGACGAAAAGCTTGTCAGGTGAGTTCCACGAGAATAAACCTCACAAATGAGAAAGCATGCTACAAATGTTTAGTATTAGGTTGGACGGTAAAAAATGGGGCAGCTTGATTTATTAGATTTTGAGATTTTTTGTTCTACCAACAACAAGCAGGCTGCAAGTCAAACGTCGCTTACATAAACCGAAATTCGCCTCTTATTGTGGCAACGAGTTACCGCTCCTCTCTCATAACAGTACGCGTGGCGCCGTGAAGAACTCAAGGGTTTTTGAACATTTCCCATTCTTGCACTGCTACACCGTAAGGTCATAAAGCAAATAACATACCATTCAAAAGAGCTCTTCATGCTCTTTCAAAAGATTTGTTAACGCATGAGATTTCTTTTGGATTTAAGAAAAAAAGCGAAAAACCTGAAACATAGCTATTTTTGGCGCGATAAAAAACCAAAGAATCATGTTGTGCCCTATTTTCCGAAGATAGATAAAATGTGAGGTAAGCTGCATATGGGTGGATATAGCGTAAAAAGCTCTTTCAGATGGTACCTCGAATACATGCGTTCACCTAAATAGAATTTGAATTGAATACGTACCTTTGTTCTCAAAGCTGCCAACGGCCATGTCTCCTGACTTTGAATGTTGGGGTCACCAAGCCGTCGTGGGTTTGGTGACCATCTCACCACCCAATCCAGCACTGGTAGTTTGGGTGGTCTCAAATGTTTCACTGCGCAGAAACTGCTCAAAGTTTATGATTTGTTGAAATGATTGACTTTGCATTTCAGCAAGTATAAACATTATTAATCATGTGAATGACCTCATATAGGTACTATCTAAAAGACAATAACATATTCTAACATCTACGAAAATTGGAAAGTCTAATCCCTTCTCTTTCTTGAGAAACCTCCAATTATTTCGTAATTCGCCCCATTTTTTACCGTTCGCCCCAATACTAAAGTTAATAAGTGCTATGCACAAGGGATAAATTTTGAACAACTGGATTTTTACCAAATTGCGCGGGGGCTCGAATGGAGTGGTATGTGTGAGGTTCCAAACGGGACTCAAGTATCATTTGCGAGGGTTTCAATCCAATTTCGTTTTCGAACAAAGAAGCATAAGACATACGGAGTGCACAGAAATATAGGTAAAAGAAGTAGTGGAGAGTGAGAAGAAGGCAGTATATCGACGGAAAACTGACTTCTTTTTTCTATAATTTGAATTGTCGGGGAAGATAAGTTCGAAATGTGGTTCAACCTTAGCTATCTCCGCCTCCTACCACCTTTCTGATTTCTTTGGAACGCTGTTCTGCCTTGAGAGTAAGTAGTCTGTGTTTAGAATCGATCAGACTAAAATTTGAAAAGATTTGGCAATTTTCACATCGCGTCTGATATCGCGCGAATATATCGAAACCCTGTTCCAAAATTCCACTTACCACTAGACCACCTTCTTCAATTAATTCTAATCTTTGTAGACTGTATGTCTCCTTTTTGTAAAAACTTGGCATGCTTTGTAGATATTGTTCAACTGTTTTAAGCCGTAACAGGTTTTTAAAGGAACACTTTATTTACTGCCCGACGTTTCGGCTGAATGCCGTCTTCAGGGGCCTGAAAGCGAGTCAATCACTCTTTGATCAAACGATCTAGACCACCAGACACCTCCTCCATACCGTACACTTGACTCATCAATTGTGACGCAGATAAGTTCTCAAGTTGAACAGCTTACCAAGTGTTCCTGGTGAGGAGCGTAAGGGTGTTAGCTCTCTCTCTCTCACGGTCGCCCACAGCAGATGATGACAAAATGAGCGGTCCGAATAAGTACGACACGCTTAAATAGTGTAGGCCACTCATAGCTCGCAAAATGGTAGAAACGGCTTCAGAACACTAGTGATAGACAAATGTTCATTCTTGCTGTTCATTTTAGGATTACGAGCAAGTATGAATGAAGCCTCTAACGCTTTTCGAGCAGCAATATGTTCTTCGACAGCCAAAATGCAACACTGGATTTCAAAATCATTTCCTCCATGGTCCTCTTTCCTGTGCTTTCCAAGAGGGCTTACGAGACTTTGTCTTCTCTTACTCGCCAGATGTTCGCTGACACGTACGTGAAGTGGTCGACCAGTTTCGCCTATGTAAATGGCATGGCATATCTTACATTCTAGCTGGTAAATCACTCCGCATTTCGAACAGTCTCCTAACCTCTCATCTGTGCAAACAACGCAGTTCTGTATTACGCATTGTCTGTCATACAATCTATTGCGGACCAGTTACTTTTTGATGTTGTTTTGGGGTATGTTCACTAAAACAACATCATCCGCCAATTGCGCTTGTATTAGACATTGCTTGAAAGCGTTGCTTATTCTATCGGACACGAACGGTAAGCATAGCGATATACGTAATCGAGTCTGACTGCTAGCGTTCGCGCATGTTCTCTTGCGAGGTTTGAACTGCAGTTGGTAACCATTCTTAGCAACTATCTCGTATGCCAGCTTCGTAGATTCCAGTCTTTCAACTTCACCGCTGCAAACATCGCGCGCTGTTCTAAACATATTGCGAATAATCGCTCTTTTTACAGCAGATGGATGCGCAGATGTGGCATGCAGAATTATATTCTTAGAACTCTCCTTCCGATACCATTTGACGTGTGCTGCTCCGTTTTCCAACATCACCTGCGTATTTAGATATGGTAGCCAGCCATCGTGTGGTCTCTGTCTTGTCAAGCTGATGTACCGTGATTGTTCATTGAGAATTCTAAAGCACTCATCCTTTCGGATTGAGTTGCAGTAGCAATGTAACAATCATCGATGTAACGGCAGTACATCAAGGGACATCGCAATAATACCGGCTCCTCTATTTTGCTCATAAAGCAAATAGCGAGCGCGGGCGCTAGTCTTTGTCCCATCGTTAGTCCTCTTAGTTGTGCATAATATTGTCCCGACCATTTGAAGACATTGCATGCCAAGCATTCTTTGATCAAGGAGATGATGCGCGCTTTACTGAGCCCGTATGTTTCCATATTGATAATATGTGAATCGAGCAGCTCAGAGAGCGCTTGTAAGGCGTCATTATTGGACACATTAGTGTATAGTGACGTAACATCAAATGACTCCATTACGCAATTTTGGTCAAAGTGCGTTTTGCGTAGTTGATCAAGGAAGCGGCTTGTGTTCGGCAAATGGGCGGGGATCTTACATAAGAGTTGACTGACGATCTTGCTAAGGAACCACGAAATTCTGTCAGTTGGCCCACCTATACAGCTGATTATTGGTCGAATTTTGCAAGACGCAGCGGTCACATCTCGTGAATCAGTCAAGGCGAGTTTGTGCGTCTTTACGAGGCTATAAAAGACAGGACAAGCCGGATTTTCAATTTTAATCCTACTGAGAAACTTTTCGTCTAGTCCCGCTTGCTTTCCGATCATCATCCAGATGTGATTAAGTCGCTTGCTTTGAGAAAGGAACAATATCTAATCTTTGTCTTTCAGGGAATTGGCCAACGGAGAAAGAGAAGACCTTATTATTGTCTCGAATTGGCCCATACATGCTGAATATTTTGGTTTTTCCGACTTCACTATGGGACTCAATCAACTTGACAATGAGGACGAGCAGCTGCTACCTCCAACAGATAGCAGATTTCGACCTGATGTTAGACATCTGGAAGATGGCGATTTGGACAAAGCGACTGCATACAAGATGGAGTTGGAAAAGGTAGCAAAGGCTAGCTTCTCTATTTGTGCGCATTTATATATTTATCAGGCACAAAGAACCAGAGGCATAAATGAGGAAACACACAAGCCGTTGTGGTTTGAGGAAAAAGAAGATGAATTTACCAAGACGAAAATTTTTGTCACTAATGGGAAGTACTGGGAAGCAAAACAGACTCGATTTGAGAAGCAAAGGAAGGAAGATGCGTTCATACCCATATTCAATGTAACAATTATCACATAAAGTACATTCACTTAAGTAAGAAGCTTCATTACAAAGTCTGTAAATGAAGAGATTTTTCATTAAAATGTTCGGCACTTCAATTAAGTTGTTGCTTGGAGACCACCAATCGCTGCTGGATATATTAGGTCGTACCGAAGGTAATGTCGCTTTTTTCAAGTGAAAGCTACATTTCGTGGAAGCAACATTTCTAGGAGATCTTGATAGCATTCGATGCAGCATTTCATTCTCTTTCTAATGGTCACAACGAGCATTGCACACGATCGATAAGCTCCAAAAAAATCATCAAAATCTGCGACTCATGCTTTTTGAGAAGGTCAAGTTTCACAATTTTTCTAAACTTTTACAGCAATCCTTCAAAGGAGTCCAAGTAACAGTTGGATTGAGCAAACCCTATAGGAAACAGCACAATTTTTTTCTACTCTCCATAGCTCCTCGTAATTTTTGTAAAGATTTTTCAATGGAATCACCGAATTTTAGCAGGCCTGTCTCAGACTCTAATGCATCAAACACCAATGAATTTTCGGATTTTGAAACTTGCAAAGGTGGATTATGGCTTGTCACTAATTTTGCAAAGCAAATGAGCGTTTACTGCTCCAGATTAGCAACTTTCGGAAATTTCGGGTACGGCCTGGGGCGTCTTGGAAAACCTAAATTATGATGATTTTATTCCGAAAAATCTTATGAAACAACCGGTAGAAACAGGAGGATAAGCTGCGTCGAATGACACCCGAGTTGCTTGCCGGTTGTTGTTCTGCGAGGTGTGAGTTGACCAAATATGGAGCTTGATAGCACTGAAGAATTGATTCTACAAACTCTAAGAAGCAAACTAAGCAAAAGAAAAAAATTGTTTTGTGTTTTATGAGATTTGCTCTATTTATCTGTTACTTGCACATCTTCGGAAAATCAGTACAAAAATGTAGAAAAATAGCCGAACTTGACCATGACAAAAAGCATGGGTCGCAGGTTTTGGTAATTTTTTGAGAGCTCATTGAATATTATGCGATGACATTACAACTGTTAGAAAGAGGAAAAAAGGCTGCATCGACTGATCCCAAAAGCACCTGAAAATCTTGGTTCCACGAAATGTGGCGTTCGTTTGAAAAAAGCGACATTACTATCGGAACTGCCTAATAAATTCCATTTCCCGATGAATAACAACTAACGGTTTCGGCTCAAACTATGTTAAGGCCTAAAAAAATTAGAATAAATCAGGGATGCAGTGTGTTAGGCACTCTTATAAATAATAGATGTTATATCATTAAATTATAGATGAAAGCAGCATTTATAAGAAACAAATGGGAACAAATGATACAACGGAAATAGCACTAAAATTTGGTCCAATTCCTTTGACGCGTTATTTGATCCCACTGAATCAGAGAGAGTGATACAAACTTCTTCTCCTCTCCAAAAAAATGTCGAGCGATGTCGAGCCTAGTAATAATGTTGAAATCACTATAGGCTGTACCAACCAGCATCGGTCTCGCGCTGATGTGCCTTGCGAGGACGCACCGTCGCATGCGACCTGCCTCAACGCGTATCGTCCTTTCACCCCATTGTAGCGGGCACGCAGCCTCAGACGCTTTCCCGCGAAGCGGTTTTGACCGCGGCGCAGGGTCGATACGGCCGATCAACTGTCCATCCGTCCGCTGCCATAGGAATCGGTAAGTTTTCGATAATTCCTCTATATTTTTGCTTGCAGGTGGCAACAAAAGGATAGAAGGTGAGTTGAGAAAGTCTGTTAAGTTTATTTATAAGTTAGTTGTTTGCTGAAAAAGCTGACTTCCCAATAAGCGCTATGTCAGCCAGTTTTTTTCGAATTTTCGTTCATGTAGTCAATATTACACTCATTAATAAACTTAATAGACTTTTTCAATTTACCTTCCATCCTTTTGCTGCAATCTGCAAGCAAAAAAATACAGAAATTATCCAAAACTCATCAATTCCTGTGGCAGCGGACGGATGAACAGCTGATCAGCCGTACCGACCCTGCGCCGCGGTCAAAACCGCTTCGCGGGAGAGCGTCTGAGGCTGCGTGCCCGCTACAACGGGGTGAAAGGACGATAGCAATATTCGCACGCGTCACACCGCACCGTCGCTAGTGGTCGCAGGCGCGATGCCGCGTGACCGATGCTGGTTGGTATGGCCTATACTTAAAATTGCTCAACCCAAGATCACTCCTTTGTAACATCAAATTTTGAGAACGAGTGCTCCAAGGATAAAACGCATGACCCTCAGTCCTCAACCTCAGCTGCCCAACTCGAATTTTGCAAAAAGTTGGGGAAGTATACAGTGTCCCAAGAAAATACTGTTCGATTGTTACTCTCTTGTCAAGAAGTTTTTAGAGAAGCTTTAGACATCATTTTGTGAAGCTGGCTTCAACTTAGGTTTCAGTTGAAGCAAATTACTGATCTCTTCATTACTGTAAAATTATATAGCATTCAAATACGGTTTCGAGCCATGGAGGGCCATAGTTCGACTCAAAAGGGAAACAAAGCGACCTGAAAACTCTCACACTAGGCTAATTAGAGTTGCTGACTCTACATATGAAATTTGCAACTTAAAATACTGTTTCCTTAAGATATTATGCCAGGTAAGCAATAGCAGCCGTTATTTCGATATTTCTGACACGAACGATACTCGGTGTCCGCGGCCTTTTAAGTTGAATGCCTTTTAACACCATTATACTCATCTTGGAGCGCTGATTCCTAAGCTGGCTTCCGTTTTTGCTAATCGTTTCTTTGAGAAAAGTTATGGAGGATTTTTGCGCCAAGGGAAATATGCTCGGAATGCCAAAACAGCCGCTACGATGTGGTGTAATGATTAGTGTGATAGCCTCACTAGTTAATGTAGGTTTAGATCAAAGTCCTTTTGTGTTTTTCAGTTTTGCATTGCCTCAATCAAGCTTTTTTTCGAAAGTTAGACATCCTCGACAGTATTTCTTTTAGGCGACCATTGATGCAAAAATCCTACATAACATCTTTGAGAGAAGCTATTAGCAGAAACTGAAGTCAGACTCGGAATCAGCGTTCCAAAACGTGTGTGATGGTGTACGTATCTTCTCAAAAAGCCACGGATACCAAGTATCGTTTCTTTGTGAAAAATGTGGTCACCCAATTTGAAAAAAAAACCTCAGCAGCTGAAAAACCTCAGCATCCAACTGCAACAAAGTGATCTCCAAAGACGTAAAATAGTTCACTTAGTTAAAAACTGTCTCTAGTGTATAAATCTGATGTATAAGACCGAGATTTTCACAGACATAGCGGTTCACTACAAAAAACAAATTTTTGTGAATTGAGAAGAAAAATTTGGAGAAAAAATCCAACAAAATAATTTCCAGTATCGTTTTCGTAAAACCTTGGCACTTGGCTAAAGACCACTTCTTAAACCAGTACAGCACAATAACTTGTACATAATTCGATAAGTATCCAAGGTGTCGGGACGCAGCCCAGCTTAAAAACAGCTGCTTTCCCAGGGACTGGCCACGGAAGCCAGTCAGGATGAGTGACACTACAACAGTGCACCGTAAGGCTGCTTCTGCAGTTTCTCCCCTCTTCCCCTTGTTGTGATATGATGTCTAAATAATAAATATACAGGGTGTCCCAAAAAATGTGCACACTGTTTGATTGTAAATAACTCTCTTGTAATGAAGTGTTTCGAGAAGCTTTAGGTACCATTTTGTAGAGCGAGGTTCAGCTTAGTGCACCGCGAATCGCCAATCGTTCATTTTTACTGTAGGATTACGGTAGAAACTTCAAACATATGGTGTCACTGTGAAAAAAACGGCCGTTTCAGAAATTTTCAAAAAAATGTGGGGACTTATGTAATAGGGTTTTCACGGACGCTGAGTTCAATACCCAACTCTATACAAGGTTGCGAAGCTTTTTAAACGATGTAACCGCACTTTTTAGGAACATTGAAAAAATGGCCGCTATTGCTTACCTCGCATAATTTTTCAATGAAGCATTACGAAAAATTGCAAACTTCACATTTAGAATCAGCAACTCTAATTAGCCCAGTGTGAGAGTTTTTAGTTTTGATTGTTTTGATTCATTTTTGGAACAAAATATGGCCTTACATGGCTCAAAACCCTCTTCAAAGTTTCTACCGTAACCCTACAGTAAGAATGAGCGATCGGCGATTCGCTCTATACTGTAAATCTAAGTTGAACCTCGCTCTACAAAAATTTACTCAAAGCTTCTCCAAACACTTCATTACAAGAGAGTTATTTACAATCAAACAGTGTGCATATTTTTTGGGACACCCTGTATATATAATACCTATAATCGTCCTCACCCCACTAGTCGGTCGGTGGTCGAATTTGAATTCGAAATGGAGCAGGCCGGCCGCAGCAGACCGCCCTCAGCCAACCGCTTGCACGAGCTTTTTTCTTGTTAACTTCGTGTTTCTTTGGTATTTCTCATATCGCGGCAATGTTTCTTATCAGATTTTCAGATTTCGTACCAATAACTCTTTGGAACAAACACTTTTTGAGAGAATTTCAGCCGTAAAATAGTTTAGAGTAAACATTCTAACGAAACACTGATACAGTTCATCAAATCACATTTGTGTATATGTCAGTTACCGGGGAAGAGATTTCTCACCCAAAAATCTCCAATCGCACCCTTCTTTTGGGTTACTTGGAAAAAATGTGAAACAAACGAGCACAACTGCACAAAACAATAGTTAGCGATACCAGATTTGAAAACCTGACTAAGAACATTGCCGCAATACGAGAGATAGCAATGAAACACGAAGAAAATAAGAGAAAAGCTATGTGCAAATGGTTGGCTGAGGGGCGATCTGCCGCGCTCTGCCGCGGCCGGCCTGCTCCACTTCGAATTCAAATTCTACCACCGACCGACTAGTGGGGTGAGGACGACTATACCTGTACCGTTACACTAATCAAGCTAGGGCCTGCACACCCCTAGTCTTGACATGGAGGTTCCAGGGAAGATTTCTTTTTCTTCAGAATTCTAGAATAATTTTTTCCTTTCCTCAACTTTTGGTATGGGTTTCAAAAATAAATCTTGCCCCTTCCCCTTGCACAAATCCATCCATCGTTTTGGACGTGCCGACGAACAACTGTGTGTTTATTTTGCACAAAATGTATTATATGAGTCGTGTGAGTGAAATACTTAACCTATGTGTAAGTTAGACATTTAACCTTTTCAGAAAGAAAAAAAACACTAAGTAAAATAAAATAAAATTCATTCATACAGTCCTGCAAACAGGCCCCTTTTGTCAATTCTTTCTTTCGTAAAGCGCTCGCATTTCCCGTGATCCGTGATTCCGTGAGCAGTGAATCCGTGGATTTAAAAGCGCATTTAGCAGCCGTGACTTGTGAGTCCGTGAATCCGTGAATGTACATCCGTGTATTTTTTTGAAAATTGTACGGATTTCGTGATCCGTGATCCGTGATTCCGTGAAGCCGTGATACCGTGAATTTTTGTTGATTTATTCTTATTTTCCTTTTTCTTTTCTCTATGATCAGACAATGGACTTGTTCGCAATCGTTAGCTCGAAAAACTGCAGTATAAAACCCAGAAGATAAAGCTACTGGCCCACTGCAGATAATTTCTGCCGGGAAGTGTCGACTAATCGTAATGCTTCGACCTCTCAGGAAATATAGCAAAATCCAGTGCTTCTGTCCGCGCGGTGACCCTTTTTTGGCGATAAAGCAACGCAGCTGCCCTCGTATGTTGCAAGCATGTGACCCCTACAGATTATTGATATCTGCGCGCTATAACCTTACAGCCGCGATTAGTGCAAAGCTCGCGTCTGCTCTGTGTAGCGATAAACCTTAGAACAGGATTATTAATTGCGTGACTAACAGCAACCATAATATGACCAGCTAGCTTCTATCTTACGCAACTTATATTATCGTCATTTATCTTCTGCTGTCGACAACAAAACATGACAAGTTCAAAACTTTAAAAACATATAGAAACATACATATATTATAGCATCGCTGATCGACAATGTAGTTAAGTTCGCATGACTTCTTGCACCCTTCTTGCATGATCGTCGTGATCCTTATCGCTTTGTCAAAGTTGATGAAGCGAATGCTATGAGTCCTATTGAGACTCCTTTCCTTTTTCTCGAATACCACTGTTGGCCGAGAATCGAGCCAACAGTGGAATTCGTTCGCACGTATTGGTCACCGTTAAATGACCGAATCCAATGCAAAGGCCCTCATGATCACCCTTCCACACATTGTCCACAAGTCTCGGATGAAACTGGATGACCCGCCATCCGATGTTCGATAAGACCTGAAACAATCGTAACTGCCTTACACATTCTAATAATTAGTAGGCCAAACTAAACATTGACATGCGTGTCATCAGAAGGTAGTAAAGTATGTATGGCTGGCCCATCTCCTTGCACTCCTTGCACGTCAATAAAAATGTGGCGTTTCTTCTAGAGAGGCTCACCATCATTACCTCTTCTTTCATATCATGAAGTACTACATTATGTAGTTGCTCGTTGTGACTCCGTTTAATGAGTAGATTGCGTCTGATCTTGTAGAGATCTAGCACCAATCTTTCTGTTCCCTAGAAATAAGTATATACAAATACTTCAAAAAAATTTTTAGCATTGAATATACAGTCAAAAAAGTGATAATATATTACTTATGTTTCTTTCTTCGCAATCAATGCTTCTTGTGCATCCACTTTTCTGTCATGTCGCCCCAGCACTGCCTCATGGTTGGCCCTACTAATCGTACCGTCTCTGCTGAACTTGCAATTACTTTTGCAGTCGGTTGGAGCAGTTCTGCTGCATATCTAAGGCTACTCTCAGCTCTCTGTTCTCAAGCATCTGATTCCTTAGATTTGTTTGCAACTCATCAACTTATTTCAGTAGCTTCGAATTCCTCGTGGAATATTGATCGAAATAAGCATCAAACACCTAACACGAATATAATGTTTCTTGAAATTTCATAGCAGAATAAAATAAAAGCAAAACTTACATCTTCAAATTCCATATCGAAATTCCCTGGTCCATCAGCGTAGCTTGACATAATTGATGAACGGGAAGTTTTTTTTTTGATGAGAGCTGACTTTAACTTTATTTGCAACTGAGGAAACAATGGCAGCAAAATTATGGAGCAAATGAGGAGCGACCACTGCCTGACCAATGCTAATGCGAATGGCAGGTATGACATGTATATCCTTACAACCTGCCGAAACTTCACATCCATGTCAAAATTTTCCTAATCTTATGCGCACGCCCAAAATTGGGCAACGACGTTCACATACCTATATATGACTACCCAGATAATTAGAAAAATATTCACAATAGAAAATATAGGACCAATTTACATCCCCCCAAATCGGCCCTTCTTCTAGCTCCGCCCTCCGCTCGTAATGTTAGTCGATTCGCCTTCGAACGCTAGTCTTGGATCATTCCATACATTGGTCCCAAACCAATCGGTCGTCTCCAAGCTTCTCCTCTAGCTTCCTTCAAAGCTTCCTGAGCTTAAAGTTTCCTACAGTACTGTCGCGGGGTCACAGGCTTACAACATAAGAAGGCAGCTCCGTTGCTTTATCGCCAAAAAAGGGTCACCGCGCGGACAGAAGCACTGGATTTTGCTATATTTCCTGAGAGGTCGAAGCATTACGATTAGTCGACACTTCCCGGCAGAAATTATCTGCAGTGGGCCAGTAGCTTTATCGTTCTGGGTTTTATACTGCAGTTTTTCGAGCTAACGATTGCGAACAAGTCCATTGTCTGATCATAGAGAAAAGAAAAAGAAAAATAAGAATAAGTTAACAGAAATTCACGGAGTCACGGCTTCACGGCTTAAAGATTCACGGACCACGGACCACGGAATTACAGCAATTCAGAAAAAACATACATAGTTGAGTGCAGTATTGGGGCGTCCTTGAATCCCTACGCGGTGATTGCGAGCTTGGCATCTACGACCTTTCCAAAACCGGGTTCTGGAAAGGAAAAGGGAGGCGGACCCCTGCCGCCCCGAAGGCTGCTTCGGGTATCGCCGATAACGTGCCCTGAACAAACTGTTCTTGGTGACTAAATGAGCTGGCACCGAACGATAGGAGACTACTACCACCTTTAATCAATGACTCACTCCATAGCGTTGCCCAAAATACTACTGGCCTCTCCTCTTCCTTCTTCTTCTTCTCCCTGATGAACGCAGCAAATACATAATTCATCAGCTGCAACGCGTCCGACTTGCTCTGCTTTTCAAAAAGTCAAATACCTCCGGCAATGTCGGCTACCACGAATAGTTCATTTCTTTGGGTCAGAGGGTAATTGCCCTTCTCAGGCAGTTCCCGTTTCGTCTTCTCAAGCAGATCCATTGCTGGGGTCAGCACAGATATATCCGAGAAGTACGCAAGCTGTTCCTCCAGAAACTTCGTGAAGGTCGGCTTAGGCCCCGGGCAGACTTCACGCGATTTGATCGTCGCGACTGAATCGCGACGAGACAACTGTTACAACATCATTCCATGCCGATCAACTTGCATTCGGTTGTGATACTTTTCCAGACCGAAATTTTTGAATGTGAAATGAAAATGAATGGAAATCTTGGCGATTAGATCGCGACGATTAAGTCGCGTAAAGTCTGGCCGGGGCCTTAGTGTACATGTTCCATGATGTCGAGGTACTCGGAGGAAGCGAAGGAATCGACTGCGAGGCCAGAATTTGGGAGACCTGCGGCCGTATTCACCAACGAACCACTGGGTAAGATTGGTATTTACGAGTGCAACGCTGGGTTCGCCAACCCATGACGTCACAGTGTGCCTCTCCAGTTTGTGTACTTTTTTGTAATCTCTGACACACATGGACCGCGCTAAACTAAAAGCGCCAGCACGCTTGACGCGCTTTCGGGAAGTCTTATGTTCGGATGAATGACATGAATCAATGTCTTTTGTGCGATGAAACTCGCACTTCCTTTATTGCGTCTTTTATTCGAGTATTCCCTCGGGCCCAGACATGAGTGTCGAAAATAATATGTGTGGAAACGGATGCAGAAAGAGGGCTCTACTCTTTTTTTGTACAAGTGATCTTTCTCGTTCAGAGCTGTCTTTTACCTCATAAGGAAGATATCAGCCACATTTTTCGAAGGTTGCACGACATAGCTGACATTCACGAATCCGCATAGTTTCAACAACTGTCATGGTGCAAAGATGTACTAAGTATCCTAGATGCTTTTGCTGTACATGACAAGTAAATCTATGCCTTTTTTCAAACACCTACTTTCAAAAGGAATTTTCATCATCGGTCGCAACGTGCATATTCGCAGGAAGCGCTCGAGTCCTTTTGTCCATGTGTATTTCTTGAGCGAGGATGCTCGAACGGTAAGGGGATTACGTTCTTCATTTGAATGTGCAAAATGATCATCGACAGAGTCCTAATCTCTATGATGTAAACTAGCACTGATTACCATGAATACTGCTTGTTCCCTTCCCTTTGATTTTTACTCTAAGGGATCAAGTAACAAACGATTTTAATCAAAAACAGCTTTTTTCATTTTCTTCAAGCATTGTTTGACTTGATGATTTGCAAAATAAAGGAATATAGACAAACACGGACAAACATACACAACCAAATACATGAATACAAGTGCAGGCAGACGCTCTGCTTCCTAAGCAGAGGTGCGATAGGGGGAGCCGGGTCCCCCAAAAGTGAAGGTGGTTTCAGCTACCACTGGCCGGCCAAAAGTGGAGGTGGTAGTGTCGGACACTCACCTCCCAAAAACGTCGACGGGGGGGGGGGGGGGGGGGAGGTGCGGGGGGAGGATAGAACGGACGAACGGAGCTGTCTTTCTAGGTCTAACGTCGACCCAACGGCCCTCTTTAGGGCCACAGATACGATGAATATTAAAAATATCTATAATATTCATAAAAATTTAAAATAGACGTGTTTAGTAAATGGTATATTTGGAAGTAAAGCTTAGCAAAACTGTACGGATTTTATTAAGCAAATTATGTTATAACGTATAGCGAAGGAAGTAGGTCGATCCAGGCAGTAACGGCGGAGAACCAGAATTTTGAATATTTAAATAGTGAAAAATCATGCGAAATTTCCACTGTTATAAATCTGTTGTTTGAAGATGTCAGCAGTTGCGACTTCATAGGTTTTAAAGAGTAAATGTTGCTCTATCAGCTAGTGAAGAAATCTGGTCGATTTAAGAGATAGTCGTTGAAAACCAGAGTTCTAAAACTTTACGCCATTTTTGCGTGTTTTTTGATTGTTGAGAGTTAAACTCTTATAAATCTTGAATGTGGAAGTGTATGATGTTGCGACTTCATAGGTTTTATAGAGTAAGGTTTGCCTTATCAGAATATGTCTTGTCCGTTCCGATCCATTGAAACACCTCCGAGATCCAGAGTCATGAAAAAGCAGGTAAAAAAGAGCTTTTTGAACTTCAACAGCTCATAACTTCTTCAGAACTGCATAAATCATGTTGCGACTTCATAGGTTAGATTCCTCTCATCAAGGGCTTTCAGATGATATATAATATATGGGGGTTTCGCGCCTCTTACGGCATATGCCCGGGGGGGAGACTTTTTAGGCCAAAGTCTCCCCCTCGCCCATTTTAATGTATTGGCTGGAGGCTGCCGGGGGAGACTTTGGCCTAAAAAGTCTCCCCCCCCCCCGGGCATATGCCGTAAGAGGCGCGAAACCCCCACATATTATATATCATCTGAAAGCCCTTGATGAGAGGAATCTAACCTATGAAGTCGCAACATGATTCATGCAGTTCTGAAGAAGTTATGAGCTGTTGAAGTTCAAAAAGCTCTTTTTTACCTGCTTTTTCATGACTCTGGATCTCGGAGGTGTTTCAATGGATCGGAACGGACAAGACATATTCTGATAAGGCAAACCTTACTCTATAAAACCTATGAAGTCGCAACATCATACACTTCCACATTCAAGATTTATAAGAGTTTAACTCTCAACAGTCAAAAAACACGCAAAAATGGCGTAAAGTTTTAGAACTCTGGTTTTCAAAGACTATCTCTTAAATCGACCCGATTCCTTCACTAGCTGATAGAGCAACATCTACTCTTCAAAACCTATGAAGTCGCAACTGCTGACATCTTCAAACAACAGATTTATAACAGTGGAAATTTCGCATGATTTTTCACTATTTAAATATTCAAAATTCTGGTTCTCCGCCGTTACTGCCTGGATCGACCTACTTCCTTCGCTATACGTTATAACATAATTTGCTTAATAAAATCCGTACAGTTTTGCTAAGCTTTACTTCCAAATACACCATTTACTAAAAACCTTTATTTTAAATATATATGCCGCCGTATACATAAATATATGCTTTCAATAATCTTTTTTGCGTTTGTTTTGCTTATTTTCCTTCTTTGTCGTCCAGCGAAAAAATTTTTACTCCAAAAGTGAAGGTGGTCACCCCGTACCAGCTCAAAAGTGAAGGTAGGGGGAGACTTGGCTCCCCCTATCGCACCTCTGTTCCTAAGGCTCCCTCTGTAGTCGCAGCAGTATCGGGAAAATTGTAAGATAGCATGAGCAAACATCGGCAAGTGCTGAGGATCTTTGCAGCTTGGCGAAGAAACCGTTAGAGCTTGTTTGTGAGTTTTCACACATGCCAAAACCATGACTGGCATCAAGTTTGCTAGTCCTACATCTCAGTGGATTATTTTACAAAATTCATCAAACAAAATTTCTAAGTTTTAAAGAATACGGAGGTTTCTAATGTATTAGGCTGCTGCATAAGTTCTGTCCGATCTTTTTTGCATTATGTTTAAAGCAGCTATTCTAGGAGAATTTCTAATGCGGTATTGTTAGTATCATTACAAAGTGCTTTTCTTGCGCTTTCTAAAGCACATCAGATTTCAATAAATTTCTTAGTGTAGGGAGATTTCAGGCCTAAAACTCCAGGCGGAGGTACGTTCTCACCCTAGAAATATGTTCTTGCGAGGAAATCTCCACAATGCGCCCTTCAGGTCAAGTTTTTTAATTGGTTGCGGAATAAGGGTGCAACAGGCTAGCATACGCAGAAGTTCAGTCTCATGAAGAAAACGTCTTGCTAGTAAAATTTATTGTCAAACATTAATTTGCTGTATAGATGTTTTACAAGCAATAACTTTCCGCGAATAGAAGTAATCGACGACTTCAAAGTTGGAGGTGCTAGGGTAAAGCAAGGGCTAGCAGAAATCATCCACCAGTTTCTTTTCGGCGCTCACGTCAATTGTAGAATTTTCATAATTCGTAGATAGGCATGCACACATGCGCCGAAGCAAAAAATGGCTTCTCTTTTGTTCGGTCAAAAAAAATCTCTCGGCAACGCAGACCCTATGGACTCTTTTATGGTGCAAAATAATCTACGGAAAATTCCTTATCTGTCCATTGTTAGACAAAATGCCTATCAATTCTCATAAGGGAGCATTGCCATGTCAAAAAAGACAGGTCTAACGAAAAACGCTGTGAAGTTTTTGAGTTCTTGCTTCTTCCTTAACAAGGATTGCCGCAGGTTCAATATGTATTTGATAGCCAAGGAAGTGCTCAACACAGGGAAACTAAGACCTTGAAAAAAAGTTGACTTTGAAGAAGTTACGACATTTGGAACTCAAAAGTTTCAAATCGGACAGGACTTATACAGCAACCTAATATATGTGTTGCTAGTAGTAACCATTTCTGCTTACGTAATTCCATAATATTCAGCAGGACTGGGTTCGCATGTAAACCACTGAGGAATTTGTACCATGCTTGGGTTCACCAAATCAGCGCTCAGTGGGTTCCGGAATCCACGAGAACTGGTAACTTATTTCGTGAATGCCGGTTCACCAAATCAGCGCTCAGTGGGTTCCGAAATCCACGAGAACTGGTAACTTATTTCGTGAATGCCGGTATGGTCGCCTTTTGGGTTCGCGAACCCACTGGGTACGTTCATGAATACCGGTCAAGTGGCTTTTCGTGGATTCCGGAAGCCACTGGGTAGGGTTAAAGGCAGCGTCTCGGCAGGATAAACCTAACTCAGATTTTGGCACAGATGGATAGGAGGCCCTCCAAGTGAACCAAAACAGCATCTCCGCGCCGAAAATGTGAACTCTGCAAGCCAGGGGGGCGGCCCAACCGCCGCTCCCCTTCCTCCTTTCCCTCGCCTAATACCTTGTTCGGACGAGTATGTTCTCCGCTAGAAAACGCGCCGTCACTCGTAGCTTCGTAGGGCAGAATTGTTCTAGCGCTCTCTACCTCCTTACTCTGCGTCCGTCTCTGACGACAGAGAAAAACGGCTCACTCGTCCGCGCCCGTCTCAAGGAGGGTTTCAAAAGACGCGGTTTTCCCCATTTTCGCGCTAAGGGGAGTTCATGTCGTGATTCAGGGGGCCGGAATAGCCCCAAAACTGCCAAAACCCCGAAGTTGAAAATCTGCCGAGCCGCTGCCTTTAAGCCGCTGGGTTCCGGAACCCACTAGCTTCGTGAGTGCCCCTGGATATCTTGTGGGTTGAGCGTACCCAGTGGGTTCCGGTACCCACTGGGTTCGTTGCTGAATTCGGCCACAGAGGGTCAGACTGATGTTTGGTCATTTGCACTAAATCGCTCGCATGCTCAGGTGTAGCGGGAGATTGATCCGACATTATTACAGAAAAAATCGAAAAGTGGCTATCAAGCTGATGAAAGACCGGAATGACGAAACGCCGGCCAAGCGCACGTTGCTAGTGTCGCCCCGCCCCCAACTGTGCTTAGCCACTAGCCAAACCCGTTACGAAGTAGCAAAAAGTTTTGCATGTAATCTACTTCCTATAAAATGACGTGCTCCTATTTGCTCCTAAATCATCTTATTCTGCCTCTACAGTGATACCGCAATTAGATCGTAAGCAAGTTCCCCGACACTTGCCATCTTTTTCTTGCTGTAACTTCAAGCAGATTGATTCTTTTTTGAAGCCACAAACTCATTGCAAAGACAATTTTGTCCAAAACATATAGTTGTCTTGCTGGCTTTTCAGCACCTCACTGCAGTCCACCAGCATACGCAGAAGGGAGAAAGGTCGTCGCGAAAAATGGCCTATTTGTGCAGGATTATCTCAAACATGATGAAAGCTGGAGAGCTCAAATGCTGTAGTTATATAAAAGTCTGCTGGAGCTGTCATGGAGACTATTTAAGCTTTTGAGCGATCACATGCAAAAAAAAGTTTTTCCAGAAAGTCTGAAAAATCGATCATTCTTTGCCCCTAAAAATGCATTTCGAGTAAGTGACTTTGAAGTCATCTCGTTCTTCACAGGGCGGACCAACTCTTACCGCGAACATCGTTAGGTAATGCCTTACACATCTTCTGGACCCATCATCCAGGCGCGGCGATCCCCGCAGAAGCGACGCCAGCTACGAAAAGAGTTGCGTCAGAGGCAAGTTCGACAGCATGTAATTTCTGAGCGCAAATCAAACTCGAGTGCAGCTGCGAGTCAGAAGTTAACAGGCTTCTCAATCAGATCATCCATGATTTGAACGAAACTCTTTCAACTGCATAAAAAAAGGGGATTGTGGAATTCTTATGGTTGAAAAGATTTTACTTTTTGATATGCAGATCAAACACGTCTTGGCATCGATAAAAATCAGAAGCCGTTTTAAAAATTTTAGGTTCCCTCTACTGAGCAGTATAAAAAACTTGCTGTCAAAATCCGAGTGCGCCGAAAAATTCCAAAAGTGCCCGGAAACTTTCTTTACAGCCTAATAAATGCAAAGCAAAACTCTGTGGTGCAACCGCGCTGGTCATACCGCTTCGTCCTGATCCCGAGAAAGGCTATATATAGAGGGATAACCTTCGTAGAAGCAAAGAACCTTCCATGTTCCTGTGATTACTCAAATGCCAAGAAATGATAAGCCAGGTCCACAAGTGATGGAGCAGCCTATCACAGCGTCGTACCTCACGCGGGTACCCATTACGCTCATAGCGTGTGAGAATTGGAGGCGCGCGGGCGGCACGGTGAGAATATAGTGCGCGCGGGCCGTACGCTAAGAATTCAAGCGCGCGGGCCGCACGGTACATGACCCCGCCCGTAAATCTAGGCGCGCGGGCCGCACTGCTGGCCATTAACAAGCGCGCGCCGCACGCACCGAATGTCAGAGTAGTTATGACAAAATATATCACTCATTTGCTCGGAGATAATGATGATTTGAAGGCCTGTAGGAAGGGCAGCAAGAAAAGAAAGTTTTTAAAAGTTCTAAAAGTTCTGTCTTTCAGTTCTTCAACCCCTCCCGGGTCATTCCAGTCAATTCTTCTGCAGTCGAATCAATTCACATGATCATATGTCAATGCACACACTGTCCACCTTTGGCGTCCACATCCTGGATTGCAATCGCATAAACGCGAGAGACCGACCGATTATTATTGCTTACATCACTTTATGAAGACTGGTACCTAAAAAAGAGAAAAAGCATGAAGAAAACAACGGAAACACTTAACCCTTGCCCATACTTCACGCGATACTAATCGCGACACTAGCTGACAATTTGCCACATGTGTTCCGGCACTTTAGATTAGGATCACAGTGTGCATAGCTTTTGCAGACTGATGAAGTCCCGTCTATCGTAGATTCAGAATACGCTTACCTCTGGACAAGTAACTGGAGAACTGCCAAATTGCGTCGCGACTGAAATCGCACGAAGTGTGCCAGGGCCCCCACGGCAGCTTAATTACAGGCCTAAGTAATCACGATTTTGATGTAGGTGAAAACCTCAAGGTGATGAAGAGCCACATTAGCAAGAAGTTCACCGTAGCAATCGACCCCAAGCTGAACTCTTGTCGTGCTCCAGTCACACTTATAGGACGCTGATGCATTACGAGGGTGTGTCCCGCAGTGGGTTGAGTTTATCAGACCGTACTCCCGGAAAATAACGTTTCATTTTGAATTTTCATTTTATTTATTGAAAATGTTCTTAAATCTTGATTTGAACTTGTTAATTTATTTCGAAAGTTCGCTTAGCTACTTTTCTTTGAGTCTATGTGCAGTGGTTTAACAACGCCGTATCCTCCCAGAGAATAACATTTTACCTTGAGGTGTTTTGTTTGGCTACTTCTCTTAATTAGATCAATATGGAGTGATACAATGTGGTTGGACGGGCCGTTTGTTGTACTTTGATTTGAAAGCAAAGAAATGGCGGCACCAGATGCTCCGTTTTCATCATTTATGCCGTTTTTTATGGATTATCACTCATAAGTTTTTCCTAATAGGTAAAATGGTGAACGTGCCGAAAACCAGAAGGACTTTCTGTGACGGCAAGTGCAGGAAGCACACCAACCACAAAGTCACCCAGTACAAGAAGGGTAAGGAATCCAAATTCGCTCAAGGTTCGTTTTGCATTAATTTGATCCTTCTGTTTTTTTTTGTTCTTTGATTTTTATTATGAAGAGTTTTGGAGCAATTTATGTAACATGCTACTGGACCCGCGCAGTTAGTGCTTTGATGAAGTTTTAGTTTATAAGTGGGTTTGAATCGGCTAACATCAGCTCAAGTGTTGACCTTTGTTTCAAAAATAAGTGAGGTAATGGTCACTGCATTCATGTTTAGGTGGTTCTGAATAGCATCAATTTCGAGCGCTTCATTTTGTTTCACTGTCTTACCGCTAGTGCTGTTGTTACTCATTTTATCATTATCACCGCTGTTGCCTTTGTTGAACATAAAACGAATATCATTGCAATTTGAATTTTCTTCACCTCAGCTTTCAACAGTAAAGCGGTAGAGTATGGCCGAACCTTAATCAAACGAGGGGCTTACAACGGAGGTCCGTTTACTCGAAGGGCTTTTCAAATAAATCATATACCACCTTGCAGAGCGTTGAACGCTGATTCCAAATCTTTTCCATTATCTGCCAAGCGGCAGAATGAAAAAGATTGGAAAAGGATCCAGCAGTTAGAACTTGGGAATTCTCCGATATCAATATACGCTTTTTGAGTCCTGCCGCATATATTTTACTCTGAACGACTGCGAGCTCTTTTTGACCTCATTAGATTAACCCACTGGCTTACCGAGCTCTTTTTCAAATGATAAGGACCCATATCTTTCTTGAAAGTACTGTGCATCAGAAGATGTTGTTTTGTATTTTACTTAGATTATATTGCTTTATTGCCAGGACGAAGACGTTACGATCGCAAACAGGCAGGATTCGGAGGTCAGACCAAGCCCATTTTCAGAAAGAAGGCTAAGACCACCAAAAAGATTGTGCTTCGTATGGAGTGCACAGAGTGCAAACACAAGAAGCAACTCCCCATCAAGAGGTTTGTTGTCACGCCTTTGGATTTACGTTACCTCATTGATTTTCCTTTCTTTCTGCGTTCTTTTGTGAACGATATATTCCTTCGGCATTGTTCTGATGTTAGGGTGGAGGACTATATGTCGCCGAAAAAGGGCGGTCCCCGCGGTCATTTGCGACAAATACGCATTCTTATACATGCGCGGACATGCGTTCCTGCAGGTAATCCGCGCGAGACTCTTCCAAATCCGGCGACATATAGTCCTCCACCCCTGATGTTATATTCATAGAAAAATCCCATCAAAACGGGCATGCAAGTTTTTGCTTTTCGTAACTATTGTCAACCAAGAAGTAGGATGGTCACATTACCGTGTCTGACGGCATAACGCGATTACCCTATATCAATCTAAAGTCTCTGTTCCTCGTTCACCTGTTCTGAGGCTCTAGCTCTGTGTTAGCAAATTCCTTGAGGGGGAAGGCCAGTATATCATTTTTTCCATTGGTTCTTTTTTCACGGAAGTTGTTTTTGTTCGTTATGTTCATTGTTTTTTCGGCGCTATTCCAGCATCCAGGCTCTAATATTTCAAAGTCGTGAACTTCGCTAAAACTCGGTCTGTGGGGGTTAACGTGCTGATAACAAATATCATACTCTTTTTGCACAAAATTCGGTGGGGGTCAAATCATGGATTTGGCTGAAATTGGTCTAGGAGGATGTTTTGACGTGCTGATCATGAATGTCAAACTCTTTTTGCATTTTAGGGCCTTTTCATGGAGTTACGATAGGTATACTCTATGGGGACAAAACCCCCAATTTGCTCTAAACTTCCCAAGGGGGGAGGGGAATTATTAGCCCATTGAACATGAACATAATGGTGTTCTCTCACAGTAAGCCATCTTCTTAGGTTACGGTGTGTATACGGTAGATGCGTGAAGTTCAAGTTTGCTTGAAACTTTGCTTAGAAGGCTTCATCACGCAAAATGAACACGATGTTCGTGTTCAGGAAGCAAAATTACCCCTCTGCGCAAATTTTCAGGCAGGTCTATGATCTTGACCCCTGCCATACACCTGTCCTAACTCCCCAGAAAGCTCCCATACAGCAAGTAGAGTATGATATTCGTATCAGTATGGGGAATAACTCCTCTAAACAGAATTCCAACCAATTTTAGAATTTTCTTCCCTTGCCTATCGTAACTTCTTAAAACAGCCTCAGAATGCAGGATTTTGCTGTTCGTGATCAGCATGTCGAGTACCCCCCCCTCAGGCCAAATTTTAGCGAAATCTGTGATTTTGACTTCTTACCGTATACCATCCGTAACCCTCAGAAAGGTGCTATCGCACAAAACTACATGATATAAGCATCAGCGGGTCGTATAGCCCATGTCGACCGAGTTCTAGCGAAATTCACGCCTCCGAAAGTTTGGAGCGGGATCCTGGTAGTAGATTTTTCAAACATTTTTTTTGCTGCTGATTTGAAAGAGTTTTGTATACTTAAAAGTCGGAGAACAAACTATGCATGACTTTGGTTGGTGCTTTTTGTTATTTTCTAAGTTCATTTTTCAGATGCAAACACTTTGAGTTGGGAGGACAGAAGAAGGCTCGTGGACAAGTCATTCAATTCTAAACGTTCGCGATTGTTGTTGTTATGGTTTTGCCTAAATGAATAATTTTTATGATAAGCTAGTGTTCACTGTTTTGTGTGATATTTTGTCGCACTCATACTTCAAGTAATAGAAGTAAACATCCCTTTCCCAGAATGAGACACGTTGTTCAGGATATCATGCAATGAGTTCTGTGCAAGTTTTGGACAAATCCGGAAAAGGTCAGTGCTACTGTGGTGTATAACAGGTTTCCTACTGAGTTGAGATTTGGGGGTTTAATATCAAACATTCAATCGAAGACCAGTGTATTAATTGAACGAAGTGATTGGTTTTTCGATAATCTGCTTCTTTCTTCGTTCAGTTTCATGCTTTTTTTTCGATCTTATTCTTCAAGCATCGTTGCATGTTGCATGGTTCATACCACGAGTTCTAAAGGTAATTCGACTGTATCTGATTTGGTCGGGTTTCATGAATCTGTTAGGGCGAGTAAAGGAGTTTTGTGCGGCAAAGGTTTTGTGGTGAGTACCTCCGCTCATTATGGAGGATGATTCGCACTTTATGCTTTTTTGCAAGATTGCATCTCTCCACTGGGGAATCTCTTACTCAAAATTGCGCCCGCAGTCTGAGTGTGAACTTCATGGAAGGCAACATATATATGTTATGATATGAGGGTCGTGCTAGTGCTTCCATAAGACCGCATTCGGTTCGAGTAGGAAGTCAGATGCGTTTACGAAAGACTGAATCAATGAGAAGAGCAGTCGATGAGAGCTGCATATAAAAATTATAGAAATACAAACGTAACTGATCTGTCCCTCTGCAGTTCTCTACACTTTCGAGTCTGTTGGCGGTTCAGTTTCTGTTGGTCGCGACAAAAAGAAATGTGCAATAGCTTTGCCAGTTGATGCTCAAGGTGTTTCTAGAATCCATGGATCGCTTACATGGGATGGCCAGGTAGGAAACTTTTTTAACAGTACCATTGGAAGCGCGCTGCTTCAGGAAAAGCTCACATATTCTGATGCTAGCACATATGGGACTATGGTGGATGGGAAGATGGTCAAGGCAGCTAGTAAAGATATAGCAGATGGATCGCATGTCTTAGTGGGAGATGTGGAGCTGGTAATCTCTTTTCCACGGCGGCCCGCAAGTGCAGCATCTTATTCTGAAGATGAATCTCAGGCTACAGTTATGGTACTGGCATTAGCCTTACGCCATTGTTCTGTCCAAAACATCTCGACTTAGAGTTTACGAGGAAAGCGAAAGAGTGCAACTCCTGAACCAGTGCTCAACAGTAGCAAGCGCTCCAAGTTGAACATTACGAGCTTGTCGCAGTCACGGCAGTCACAAGTAGGTGCTTATCCTTAGAATTGTTCTAAACCTTATTTGCCAGCTGGTCGTATTTGTTTTTTTTGAGTCCCACTATGGTTTGTACTTCTACCAAACTACTCGAAATCTGACGGAAAGGGAAAACAAGTATCTGATTTTTGAAGAGCTTTGGTCCTTTATCAAATTACCAGGGTTCATTTCTTGGGTATCCGATGTTCAAATGTCAGGCCTTTGCTCGGGTGTATCCAGTGTATTACAGAAAAAGTTGCCAATAGTGGAGGAAGTAGATGATGATGTGATTCTTGCCGAAGATACCCCACCAAGGTTAGTTTTTTCGGAATCCATCCACTTCTTCATACATCTTGCCTACGACTTTTTTTTCAGTCGGATTGTGGACCAGAAAGCTGCGTTGTCAGACAAAAGCACGTCGTTTGTCTCTGACTCCTTGTCTATCCATAGTAATGGCGTACCCACACAGTCTGTAACTACAAGTGAGTTTCTTCCTGCGGAGCTAGTTTCGATCACATAGAGCAAGCCTTCGTCTACATTCTGAAAGAATCCAACTATGGCCCAAAGACTGCTTTGCTCATTCTCCTGGTACCTTTTACTTTATCGATCCTCTTCGTGGTAGTTTACAATTGCACGCTTGAGCAAGCGCCTCATTAGTGCATTAGACTCCCGGGTGGTATTAGACGTGTCAAAGTTTGGGCCGATTTGCATAATGCTGGAAACATTTCCACAAAAGACGCAGTGGCGCACGGCACATGGCACACCTCCTGCGGCTTTTGCCTGGGGAGGGGGAGGGGTGGAGGAACGATAGGTAGTACCATTTGATTCAACTGGCTTGGCTTCGGGAAGGCGGGGCTCTATGACCAAATTAAGGCTAGCCTGTGATTAGAGAGCACTCGCGCGAAAGATACGCAGGTGCGTCGCGGGCGCGAGCGGCCTTGATCACGTCACAAAGCCCCGCCTTCTCGAATCCAAGCCATTTGAATCAAAGGTTACCTCAACTAGATACCGCCTCCGCGGACTGCTGCTCCTTTCCCTCTATTATTATGTGTTGTTTGAGGAGCTAGTCCGTGGATGCTGTGCCTAACTGAGGTGTTTGTTCCTCACCCTTACAGTAGGTGCCCATGAATTAGATTGTGATTTGGGATAAGGCACTGCGAGCGCAAGTGGGAGCTGTTTGCAAACAAAAAGCATTACAGCTCATGCTGTAGGGCTCATGCTGCGGCTATGGTCAAGAGTTCATGGGCACTACGTCACCGCCTTACAAATGGAACATAGAGCAGATTGCCGTGTGCGCAGTGTTTGAGACAAGCTACATATGCACGGTGGTCGCTAGATACTGTCGAGCAAAATGGCCGTTACTCGTGTCTACTAGAAGTATTACGCATACCCTTGCCGAACTAGCATAGAATGATGTCTTTTGAGACGGTGTCGGAGCAAATTGGGGTTGTCGGACTGGTCTTATACCACAGTAAACTGCCCTCAACTGTCGCCTTTTTTATTGAAGAATCGTAAAAATCAAATAGTAGTCTCTGCATGAGTTCGAGATTAGCTGAGTAGCTTCAGCAAGTAATATGCAGTACGTCATGACCCTATGCAAGCTTGCACTGATCGAAGTATGACGGAAGTAATTTCTTTTGTGTTTGAAACTAGGTCATACTTCATAGCATCCTTCCGACTTGGTTTGTGGGTTTGAAACCCAAAACAGCTTCTTTAAGCATCGAAAATTGTTGAGAGGAGAGATAGAAGTTTATTACTAACAAGGGAACGATACTCGGTGTCCGTGGCCTTTTGAAATAGGATGTATACCATTACACTCGTCTTGGAACGGTGATTCCAAATCCTACTTCCGTTTCTGCTAATCGCTTCAAAGATGTTATCATGGGTCGCGCGGAGTTTGGGTCCTCAGTGAAAATCTGTCGGAGCACCAATACCATAGGTGCGCTGTAGTCTGGTGGTTAGTGCGATAGTCTCATGAGTTAATGCGGGTCTAGGTTCGAGTCACTTTGTGTTTTTCAGTTTTGCGTTGCCTCAATTAACCTTCTTTCACATCCTCAAGTTAAGTGAACGCTCTTACTCTCGAAAAAATGTGGAATTTTGGAAAAAATGACTACTGTTTGCGCTAAAATGTATTCAATGGTCATAATTCGAATGAAGCTTTCTCGAACAAGCTTAATTGAGGCAAAAGTAGTGCAAAAGTAAAAACGCAAAAGATTTGAATCTACATCAACTTATGAGGCTATCGCACTAAGCATTAGACCAGAACGTGGTGCGGTAGAGGCCGTTCCAATGACCATATTTCCCTTAAGCGGCCAAACTTGGGTCGAAATTCCTTCATAACTTCTTTCAGAGAAACGATTAGCAGAAACGGAAGTCAGATTCGGAATCAGCGTTCAAGAACGAGTGTGATGGTGTACATCTCGTCTCAAAAAGCCACGGACATTGAGTATCGTTTCCTTGTAAGACGGGTCTGCTGTTGAAATAAGTTTTCTAACGTAAGAAGCGGTAAGGAGATTTCAACTCTTCAGTAGCTTTATCATCACATGTGTATAGAAGGCGAAGAAGGAAACAAAGGCGAGCCAAAAATACGGAATTACACTGCTATATTCAGAAATGATCCACCTATATTTTGAATGTGCAGAAAATCCGTAATTGGGGCCACAAGTTCGCAAAGATCTAAAATGCATTTCACCTTTTTCCTTTCATTTCAATGGATTTTTTGCACCTAAAAGAACCCATTGCATTAAAGTGCAATGGATTTTTTGAGGTGTTTACATCTCAGTAGATGCAATTTTGGCTCTTACAAGGAAAGGATACTTGTTGACCGTGGCTATTTGGAATGCGATGTATAACATAAAATGCACCTCGAAACGCTGATTCTAATTCTGTGCTCGATATCTGCTGCGAAATATCTTCTGAAGGAAGTTGTGAAGTTTTTTGTAGAAAGTTTGCGTACTTTTAGGTAGTTAAAATCACGAAATTTGTTCTAAGTTACCGTTTGAAGCTATTGAAGAGAATCTTAAACGGAATACTGTTGTATTATAACTATCTATTTCATATTCAGCATTTGAAAAGGGAAGAAAATCTCCTCTTGATAATTTTGACCCATCGCAGTAGCTTAATTATTCGTGGAAAAATAATCCAACCGTTCGTTTGTTGCCAACCGTCTCTCTGCTTACAGATAATGCATCCAGCACTCAGTCTTCCTCGTCAATTTTTAAAACAGCACCTCGGAAGAAGAAGGTGTGCATTACCTACGTGTGGCCATGAAGCTAAAAAAGGATTTTTAGCAAAGCATATTCGCACCTAATCGAAAACCCTATGAGAAGGTCATATCTACGAGGGTTTTGGCTGAGGATACTTTTATGAATCCTTCAAGGCAGACCACGACCGTGAAAGAACAATCCAACAATGTCGATGTTACATGCATCCCCGATACTTGCGCAGAGAAGTAAATTTTTGTCGTGATTTTATGATATGGTTGATGGAAAAATAAATTTTCAGTGCTCCACAGAATACATCGAGGAAGAGGGAGTTGAGCTTGAACTCATTTTCGACTCTGCAGGCAAGCCTCGTCATAATTCTCTTTTTTCTAAAAGCCTTCATTTTAGGGTCCATCACCACAACGTTCGGATACTTTTCAGAAATCTCTTCAGCCAGAGAATGGGAAGGAAAGCGAAAAAGGTGAGAATGTTTTTCCCATGTTTTTTTCCTCCATCGTTACTATTCAGGCCCACTTCGGAATCTGAACGGCTCTTTGCCTATCAAAAAAGCTAGAATATCTGACACCATACGCGAAAAAACGAAACCACCACTCAACGAGGCTAGTGCAGGTGAACCAGCCGAAGCCGAGAAACTTCCCGATATGGTAATTTCTAACTTATCACATAGAGTCACAAGAGAGGGTCTGGATAATTTGCTGGATCTATCTGAGTGGGTTAGATATGACGGTTTATAAGCAGTTGAGGTTCTATCAAATCTGAGCGGTCAGATACTGCTCAAAATTTTGAAAATGCTTGAGATATCTGAACAGAATAAATCACATGATTTATAGTGAAATCAAACTTGCTTTTAGCTTCAGCGAAGGCTAAATACTCTTGTAATGAGCTTGATTTTAATGGGATTTTTTTAACAACTTTTGGTCAAGCTGCAAACATCTTTGCTATCCTTCTAAGAGGTCGTTTCGAATTTTTTTTTCAATTTTGACTTTCTCTCATACCAGCTCACGGACATCTCGAGTTAGAAGCTGAAATCTAGAAGTTTCGGATGCCCAAAGGTTCGAAATAAATTTGTATTTTCTCCATAAAGATTTACTGGATTTATCACTCCCTCACGCTTATACACTTCTCATCAGATATTCAAACATGCCGTTGCTGTATACCTTTTTTGGGCTAACCGAGAACTTTCAAATTTTTATTTTTCAAAAAGGTATGCTCTGCTGCTCCCACTCAAGTAAGTGTATACTGCAAGCGCCTTTATAAATATTACAGTAAATATTCAGGTTCCTGAAAGCGCTAGTTTTCGAGAAAATACGGATTTAGCTTTTCCTGCCGGAGTCTTTCTTGTTTAAATCGGTTTTTTTTTGGGAATAGAGCGTATAAAAAGCTGGAAATCTGTGGTTGTGCTTTTAAGGGTTTGTTTAGATTTCGAATTTAATTCAAGGTTACTGAAGCTGCTGCGAACACTCACAAGCCATCTTATAGGGCTTGTTTTCTTCTGTTGAACGGTATCTTGCATAATAATTAGGATCGAAAAATAATAATTAGTTATAATAATAATTACGAAGTGTATGACTCATTGCGATAAGAAATCAAGATTGAAAAAATTCAAGCAACCTAATAAATAGCTTGGCAGATGAAATAAGCGCTCATTCTCTTTAACTCCTGTATCTCGAGGACCGGATTTTGTAGACCCTCCTATCTCCCATTTTTTATTGGCTTTTGCGATCTCTTTGTCTCTTGAAAATGGCTTTGTTAACGAAAAGGATAGTTTTTTTCTGTTTTACAGACCTGTGCAAAGTAGTGGATATAGGCAGTCTTGGAAAGAGATCTATTGTTTAGTTCGTTAAGCCTCGCAGACGGAAATACCCAGTTCTTATGCCTAAATTCGAAATGCTGTCCACTATAAATCTCTCTATTGTTATCGCCCTCCCTTCCCCTCTATAACGTTTTGCACATTACATACAAGCTGAGAGCTGTTATTCGAGCTTGCATCAATCTTGCTTTCCCAAAGGGTCAATTAGCACTTGCCATTCAATGCCTTTGATTACATGCATCGAATCCGTCATTTTTTTGCTTGTTCCACAAATAAACGCTGGAACACGCTTGTTGAAGTGCAGACTTTGCAAGAAACAAGCGTCTGGATTTGCTGGGATTGGGAATTTAGTTGCAAATGCTGTTTGTTAGACTTTTTTTCGTGAGAACAAAGTTATTTGAGCGCGGTTGAAGATGACCAGCTATGGCGGGTCGTAGGATTCTATTAGGTTGGCTAGAAAGTTCTTGCGTAATTCAAACAAAATTCAATAACTTTCAAGTTCTCTAAAAATATTAGAAGGTCTGCGCTTTATGATGGACTAGATGGCAAACCCGGCTCCGCCCGGGACCAAACTTTGCACACATACACTTCGGGGCAGGGAGCGTGTCATAGTCCATTTTTCGTTATCGATCGATGTCGATTTTACCGATTTTTTGCAAAATTTGAGCTAGGGGGCTAGGATTTTGCACAGGGGGGTAATCGAGCATGCTGATCAACCCCGAATCGGTTCAGAAATAAAAATTTCTATTCCGCACATACGTACAGACATACAGACATACATACAGACATTCAGCTTCATATATAAGATGTTTAAGCGCAAGATTTCATGAGCTAGCCCCCGAGAACGAAGCTCTCAAATATGGGACTTCAAAATTTGCAATTTTGAGTTTGGTGCCAGAAAATCGCAGAGTGCCGCTAGCTAGCCGAAAAAAATCTGTAAAAATTACTTACACTGCAGAAGTCCATAAGTTACTTTGGAAGGCTTTGATCTTGCACGGTGAAGCAAAAACAAAAAATTCGTGAACTAGTCATTTTGCGGAAAAAATCCACTCATTACCGCAGTTTTTCGGCAAAAACAATTTTTTACACTCTAAAAAACGTCGCAAGGTTAAATGGGCAATGTCTTATTTCTGGTTGCAAACTGGTTGTGGAAAAACTACGTCGATAAGGGGATTTATCCTGTAAAATGACAATTTCCACAAATTTTTTGTTTTCGCATTTCCATGCGAGATTAAAGCCTGCTAAAATAACGTATGGACTTCTGCAGTGTAAGTAATTTTTACAGATTTTTTTCGGCTAGCTAGCGGCACTCTGCGATTTTCTGGCACCAAACTCAAAATTGCAATTTTTGAAGTTCCATATTTGAGAGCTTCGTTCTCGGGGGCTAGCTCATAAAATCTTGCGCTTAAACATCCATCATGGAGCGCAGATCTTCTAATATTTTTAAAGAACAAGATTGTGAATTTAGGTTTAGTCGTTGAAAAGTTATTGAATTTTGTTTGATTTACGCAAGAACTTTCTAGCCAACCTAATATTATCGTATCCTACTGTAAGTTGTGGACATAAATGAAATTGGCAACGCTGCGTGACATAACATTGGTACGCTTTTTGCTTGAATGACTTGGAGAAAAAAGGGCTCCACCTATACAATTGGATCTGATGAATCTACAATTTCCATGGGCCCGCTCCTAGTGTTTATACCGCCATACACCTAGGTTTGGCGTCCCGAAGCGATATTGCATTGCGTAGGAGTAGGTGGAATAATTACTTGCGTTTTCTACGTGCGGTACGGCCCGTAGTTAGTAAAGAACTGCAATGGCCGTGGGATTTCGTCGACTTACGATTACAGACGCATTCGACCAAGAATATCAACTCATCTGGATGAGGCACATATTTTAATACACAGAAGTGCTTGTCTAAGTACGGTAGCTATACGGTGTGTCTCCAGTTTTCAGCTGCAGCTATTATAAGTTCGTGTTGTACTCTGCACACCAGGTAACCATACGCAAAAATGCGATAGGATTCTTGACACAAGACTAGCTACCTAGCGTGTAACTACCGTACTCAGACAGGACAGCTCTATATATCAGAAGATGCGCCTCGTAAAGTGAGTATGGTACTCTTGGATACAGAATTCGTCCACTTAGAGCGAAATATGGCGATGCTAAGCGATTTTTGCGAGCTTCGGCGCCTACGGCGGTTTTATCACAGGTGCCGAAAAGCCCTGTCCTTTTTTGATTTTGAGGTTTTAAAAGGTTTTTGCATTTTCGTATCAAATAATGATGTGCAGATAAAGTAATATTTTTTTAGTATGACATCTTGAAGCTGGTATCAACTGGAAAACATTACGATCATCTGGAAGGCGATACAGAAACCGTCGACGAAAAAGGCCTTGAGATCGAGCGTGTAGTGGCTAAGCTGGTGGGTTTATAACCTTTTCTTGTGTATTGGTCTTGACTGCATTGAGCCTTTTAGGACGATCTGGTTTGTTATGCCGATATTGAGCGTCCGCCCACTCGAAATACCACATGTACTCCTGGATCATCTACTTCAAGTCACTCATCTGTAAATTTCAAGCGCTTTAGAAAGGTGAGAGTAAGGGTGAAGGAGTAGCTGGGGAAAATTGTGACGTTTTTAGGCCAGTCAAGGAAGGTTCAATGCCTCTCTGTCGTCTGCCAATCTCACTTGCAGGATAGCTGGGAATGAAGATCTCGTGGATTTCCGACAACTTGCGAGATGAACTTGAATTTGAAAAAAAGGAGTTTTAACTTGGAATTGCTGTGTTTTGATGTCTGTGTTCTCATTCTCCTGTGAATCAACATGCATGCTTAGTTTTACCGTAATTCTGTCATTGTAAACAGTATATTGAGAGGAATGTAAACATTTTCATGAAATGTGGAACAACAACTCATAACTCATACAAGGGGAAAATGACATCGTGGGACAAAAATGCAGAATGCAGTTCGGGTTTCCGTTGCATTCCCGGGAGGGTCACTTTTCATGTGGCGGCATGTGGAACAGTGGACAATGTCAGAAGTTCTAGTTTCCAAATGGACGCGTTCCCCATCGAAGCTCGGTTTTGAATTTTATGCTTGTGATAGGAATTGTTTGTTTTACTTTTTTAATTTGGAATTTTTTCTCATACGAAACTTAATTACAACAATCAAATCCCGTTGTTGAATTTATACGTCACGTCTTTTTTTGGCAATAATGAGCGCATTAATTCACATTTTGAGCAAATGATTGTGCCCAAGCTTTTTTCTCTTAGGTTGTTTTAACCGCAGGAAGTTCTATGGAATTGATTCAGAATTCGAACGCTATTGTTTCTCGTACGTAAACGTGTTGTGTATTTTACTCAAATCTATTTTTTTGGGCTCTACGACTCCTTTCGTGACCGAAACGTTCAATTCTAAATTCTAACCTGAGTTGTAATTTTTCTGGGCGGACCAATCAACATCCTTGAGTGCAGGGTAGGGTATGGTCCAGGATGGAGCTCAGGGCCGTATATCACTTTCACGATTGAGTCTTTCGAGATCCTGGACAATGACTTAGCTAGAGCCTCCAAATCGGCTTCAATTGTATGAGATGCAGATGATAAAATACACCTAGACACTGCTTTTAAGAGGAGACGAAAAATGCGCAAAAATGAAAGTGCTTGGAAGAATGAAGCAAGGAAAACAAGTTCTGTGATTTTTTTTTCATTTAGTTTCAAATAGGAGAGAGTGGGCCTCAAATCAGCCGAAATAATCCTGTTTAGAGGCTAATAAAAAAAAACAAAGCTTTTTGTACCAATTTTCAAAATTGATCTATGCGCGGTCATCTACATTACCTTCCTTGTGAGCGGTCTTCATAGTTTAATCTTCTATCGCGTTCAAACCTTTCCCTTTAACTATGATATTTTCTCCTTCTCTATAATCCCCTTCTGACAAATATCACGGAGCGATGTCTAATTGACGATAACAATGGCATCCCGATGGAAGGACTGTGCTTGACAGCAAAGTAATGTTGTTTACTACTCCACATATACGAGAGAAGTTTAATGTCGTATTTTTGGATGTAAATAATCCCATTGCGCTGCTAATAATTCTTATTTACTAGTTCTTATTGAGTAACCAATTAATATGGATCCAACTCCAGATCAGTTCGAAGCTATAGGTTCTGACGTCAGCAAAAATTTTTTCTCCAGATTTCCAGTACTTCCGCTATAGGATTTTATTGCAGTTGCAAAATCTAATTTATTTCTCTTCGCTTTCGTTTTTACATGACTTTCATTACCATTCTGTTTACGCTGCTGGGAATTGCATTTCCATTTCTCATTAACTTTTTTTCCGAAAATTTATTAAGAGCGAAAAAAGGGATTGCTATTGTATGCGGAATCGTTTTCCTTAGATAAACCCACTTAAAAACAGAAATAATGAGGTTGCTTTTTTGCTTATTTCTCATTGGAGGTCAGTGTGGAGTTGAGAGTACAGGTACATTAGCGTTTCTGGCTAGCCTGTGCAAATGCACATTTTTTCTCGAAGGGTTGGCACGAGGTCAAAGTTTTTTTGTGCAGCTTCTTTGTTCCCTTCATTTCTCAGACAAAATTGTGTGAAAGGGCATGAGTGTTCAAAATTCCTGCGTACCAGCTCCATCACGCTGAAAGATGTGCATTTACACAGTATAGTTGAAAAACCTGTGAGGTTGTAGCAACTCGAAAAACCGTTTAGGATGCAGGCGGGAGGGGGGGGGGGGAGGAGCGAAATTTTTTCTTATTCTTGAACTTTTCTGGAAACTCTCGATTTCAAGCCTTCAGCTAATCATAAAGAAGGAAGAACTTGTTACAGAGCCGCTCCGACATTTTGAAAATAGTCAAAAAAATTATTCTGACCAATTACAAATAAAACCAATTCACTTGTATCTATAACTCGTGTAACTGCTTCCTGAAATCTCAATCTTCAATCTCACTCTTGAGAAGGGAGAGAGCTGTAGACATTTTGCGCATCTTGCACTAGATAGCATACAAATCCAAATAGTAACTATTCTAAGCAATAGAACAAAGAAATTTGGGAAAAATAAGCAATTGTATTTACGAAATCTTTCCACCATTTATGTATTTCTTTATTGGTTATTCATTTGATACTTCAAAAAGAAAAAGTAACTACACAGACAAAACAAAAATTTCAAATTCCTAAACATGTTTTTTATGGGCTGTTGTGAACCCTTTCATGGCTGTAAAAGAATCACATTCTACGGAGGAATCCCATTCAGTACGACTGCCATAACAGGATAGAGGAAATTCGACAACAAAGAAGAACGCAACACGGAAAATTTACTTGCAGAGACGAGATAGAGGCGGGGGCAAAATAGGAAACCATCTAATCCCTTATAAATGTTTAAGTAGCAGCAAATTATAAATGTGGTACCAGACTAGTATTAGACTTTTCTCTCCTGTACATATTTCATGCTGCAAGCGGTTTGTTTGCGGATAGTGATTCATTTGGTAAGTTCTGCACATTATGGGTGCAGATAGGAAAGATAATGAGCTTCATTCATTGGTCTCGCTTGAAAATAGTTGAGCTAATTTTGTCTATGAGGCTAATTGAAATCTTCGCATATCTCTCTAAGTGGTAATTTACGTAAACGCATTTCACGAGACAAGAAAAACTTCTTATGACATGATTTCAAGGCAAGAAGAAAAGAAAACCACATCTCATTAAGGTCTCATTCAAATGAGCAAGATGGACATCAGAATACTTGAATTCGCCAAGGTACCTACACTCGAGTATGTGCGCTGCAAATATGTGCATAAACTCACGAATGTGGGCTCGCAGTTGTCCACAAAATCTTATTTCTGTTTTTTCCCTTTTGAGTAGGGTGCTGCTACATATGTTTTCATCGAATGGGTTTATTCATTGGAATAATTAGCACTGTTTGTAACCAAGGGGCCATGGTTTCTCGCGCGGATTTTGATCTAAATTAAATGTGGTTCACTTTGATCTGATGTGAGCAGCTGCAAGTCTCGCTGAAAAACATACATTTCGAAGCGAGAAAATTGCTTCGAAGGATGATTGCTGCTTGGGTCGCCACACCCATCAACATAGGTGGCGTAAAGGTAACGCTACCGAGTAATGTTGAAAATGATTCAGAGATTTATTGTTAAAAGCACAACTGAAATATTCAAATATTCTGGAGTCCAATTTCCGGTCCCCTACTTTCAAGCCACGTTGATGGGCGTGGCGACCGCAGCCGCACCCTCCTTTTGGAGCGATTTCCTCGCTTCGGAACACGCATTTTGTAGCGGAACTTGGACGCTTACTTATTTAGGGACCTCACTATCGTACAGCATCAAAATCGTACCAGCCTCGGAATTTGGGCAGACGGTACCTTCAAGGTGCATGACTGTACATAGAGCATCAAAAGTGCAACGATTGGATGAGTAAACGCAATTGTTATGCTCTGCGACCTCCCCGAGGACGAATGTGCATAATCATCGCAGTCATGCGAAATGAATGTGATTTGATATGGCTTCGCTAAGTCGGCTCGTCACTGGCGCTTAGTCGCCAATGTCCTAAGCTCAGCCCAAGTGTCTCCACTTCCGAAGAACTCACGGCTAAGCCTCGTCGAGCGCGGCACCTTTTCAGCCAGGAGCTGCGCTTGATTACTTGCAAAAAACGTCGAAAAGGACAGGCAGCCGGCCAATTGTTCGCGGAGCCGCGCCCGGCGGCCCATTTGTGGCTTTACGAGCGCGGCTCGGTCGCGTCATTGTCGACCGAACTGCTGCTTTTCTGCCCGTTTTTTGCGCAACACTCTCTCTTCTTTTGCGCTCCTTAACATAGCCTCAAGGCGAAGTCCCCACAGGGGAATATCCATAATAGCTACTCGCGGGTGATTCGTCATCTTCTCGCTTCGCCACTGTTTGGCCAAGGCAATCCTCCAGCAGGCTGGCACTTCTTCTTGCTTCACCCCTTCCCTTTTTCACTTTGCATTTTGCGCATCCTCAGGGTGTGCTTGCAACATATGGAAATGATTATTCCCTCCCCCCCCTCCTGTAGCATTTTTAACCGCAGATGTTGGGTTTTGCGGAAGTTTAGTGCAAATTGCGCTCGAGTTCAAAATCGCGTGCCTTTCGTTTCTCCACGAATTCAATGCCGGAGATTTTTTCTAGAGTTACGTCGGAAATTTTCTTATTGACTACAAAGGTTTGGAATTGTGGTTGCCTAGTCAAACATTTTCTGCTGTCGGCGATTTGTACATCAAAACTACTTCATTCTCAATCAGTAAACTTTTTGCACAATTTCAATTAACACCAGCAAAAATTTTTATTAGACAAAAATTTCTAAAGTGGATTTTTTTCTACAGAGTAACCTTATCTACAAGTTCTATTTACCCTACTTGATGCACTAATCTTAGGAGAGATTTTCGACAAAAATCTAATCAAACCTGTTTTTTGTTGTAATGAAAGCTGCAAGAACTTAGTAACCAGGTCTGTGATACCTAAAATTTCTTGACGAATTTTTTGAATCTAAAACCTGTTAATCCTCTGAACTCTAACATCTTTAATACTCCCAATTACCTCAAACTATTGGTAAGACAGTTGGACATCGAAAATGCAAAAATCACATGAAAAGATGATAGCGTGATTTTTTTACAAACATCTATTTGCGATCATTTTTTTGTACCAAAACCTACATTGCCAATCTTCTGGAAGGGCATTTCAATTCAAGAATTTATGGCATATATTCATATCTCAATTTCTACATCCGAGTTTTCTTATAAATTCATTTGCAAACGAGATTTTTTCAACAAATGTCCTCCTTCCCCCCCCCCTCTCCCTTTTTTCTTTCCCTTTGTTCCCTTCTAGAGCAAATGAAGCGGAGATTGCAAGCTTTCTCTAACTCACTAA